GTGAGGTGTTACTTGAATTCAGTTTTTATCCTTCTAGCCCTTTCCATTGCACTTCTCTGCTATACCAGCTGTCATGTCAGTGACTAGCACACTGCGTTTCAGAAGTCAGGTACCCAGTCACTACGTGTCCTTGTTCAAATCACAAACTGGGTAAGGGAGGGCGCTGGTACTGTGGCATAGCACGTAAAGCTGCCTCCTGTGGCACTGGCATCCCGTAGGGCACAGGTTAGAAACCCAGCAGCTTCACTTCTGATCCAGCTCTCTACTAGTGTGCCTTGACAAGCAGCAGAAGGTGGGCCAGGTCCTAGCATGCATGTGGAAGACCTGGAAGAAACTCCTGGCTCTTGGCTTCAGACCGGCCCAGCTCTGGCTGTTGCAGTCACTTGAGTTGTTAATCAGCAGATGGAAACTCTTTGTTTTTCCCTTTCGTGCGCTCTCTCTCTCTCTGACTCTGCGTTTCAAATAAATAAATACACCTCTTTTAGAAAACTGGTTTTGTCCACTGCAATGCTGGGCACTCTTATTAACAACAGGAACTTCTAAATTCATAACCTGGGTTCATTTGACACAAAATACACAAGACAATAGGCCCGGCGGTGTGGCCTAGTGGCTAAAGGCCTCGCTTTGAACCACCGGGATCCTATATGGGTGCCGGTTCTAATCCCAGCTGCTCCACTTTCCGTCTAGTTCCCTGCTTGTGGCCAGGGAAAGCAGTCGAGGACTTCCCAGAGCCTTGGGACCCTGCACCCATGTGGGAGACCTGGAAGAGGAGGTTCCTGGCTCCTGGCTTCAGATCGGCATAGCATCGGCTGTTGCCGTCACTTGAGGAGTGAATCATTGGACGGAAGATCTTCCTCTGTGTCTCTCCTCTTCTATGTATATCTGACTTTTCAATAAATAAATAAATCTTAAAAAAAAAACAGACCAAAATACACAAGACAATAAAGAACAAAGTTGCCTCTTTCATGCAGCCTCATACAACTTCAAAGGTGAAGGATTCTGAACCAAGCAATGAGCACCTCGACCCCACAGAGCCTTCTCTAGAAGGACCCAGTTCCAATAGCTCCTTACCACTTCCTTGGAAAAGTCACATCTCACAAGGTGTCTCATGCTGGGTTGTGCCACTCCTGGAGGAGAGAACAATTGGAATAACAGAAGTGTTTTTGTTTTTTGTTTTGGTTAAGATTCATTTACTTGCTTGAAAGGGAGAGAGTGGTAACCTAGTGCCTAGATCCTCATCTTGCAATCACCAGGATCACATATAGGCACTGGTTCATGTCCCAGCTGCCCCACTTCCCATCCAGCTCCCTGCTTGTGGCCTGGGAAAGCAGTCAAGGACGACCCAAAGCCTTGGGACCCTGTACCTGTGTGGGAGACCCGGAAGCTCCTGGCTTCAGATCTACTCAGCTTTGGCCATTGCAGGCACTTGGAGATGGAAGATCTTTCTCTTGCATTCTCTTTGTAAACTTGCCTTTCCAATGAAAACAAAGACATAAATCTTAAGAAAAAGAAAGAAAGGAAGGAAGGAAGGAAGGAAGGAAAAAGGAAGGAAGAAAGGAAGGAAGGAAGGAAGGAAGAAAGAAAGAAAGAAAGAAAGAAAGGAAGGAAGGAAGGAAGGAAGAAAGAAAGGAAGGAAAGAAGGAAGGAAGGAAGGAAGGAAGGAAGAAAGAAAGAAAGAAAGAAAGAAAGAAAGAAAGAAAGAAAGAAAGAAAGAAAGAAAGAAAGAAAGGAAGGAAGGAAGGAAGGAAGAAAGAAAGAAAGAAAGAAAGGAAGGAAGGAAGAAAGAGAAAGAAAAGGGAGAGAGAGAAGACGGGGCGGGGGTGGAGGGGAGAGCTGGGGGTGGGGATAGAGAGAGAATCTCCCAACTGCTGGCTCTGTTCCCACATGGCCACAATGGCTGGGCTGGGCCAAGCCAATGCCGGGAGCCTGGGACTCTATCAGGGTCTTCCGTAGGGTGGCACGGGCCAATGTCGCCTGCTTGCCCAGGTGCACTAGCAGAGAACTGAAGCAGGGACATGATAGCTGGGACTCCTCTGCACTCAATACAGGATGCCTCACAAATGGAAGTTTAACCGGCTGAGCCACAGCAGCGGCCCCCAGTATTGGAGATTCACAGCAAAATCTTCCCTCTTGAAGTTGCAGAGTCCTGAAGTGCTTGCAGGTAGATAAATGACCCGGCGGCCCTCCCAGGTGCCTGGGATTTTCTTCCAGGTACAGCAGAACTCAGGTAATTGTGGTTGTCTGCACCTGACCCGAGCAAGAACACTGGGAAGTGATTCCAAGGAAAATGACCTCTGCCATTCTTTGATGTTCGCCAGCTGGTCTGTCCACTTGTTCCCGGAGAGCTCGGTTTCTTGTGGAGTGGGCAGCAGGCCAGAGTTTCAGCCTCTGCAAACAGGTCTGCAGCCCGAAATCCTAAATGGACGTGACTCTCCAGGCAAGGGTGGACAAAGGGCAGACTGGCGAGACACATGGGGAAAGAAGACAGACTATTGGAGGTGAGAGAACGGCTCCCTCTCGGAGGCCTGCTTCCTTTCCGTGTGTAAGCAGCAAGGAGTAATTCTCTTTTTCAGATGTGTTTGCCTCTTGTCCTGTTCAGACCCTTGCACGAATTAGCCCTTCCTCTTTTTCTGTGTTTGAGTCTGAGCTCTTCTCATCGAATCCACCATATCTTAGGTGTGCACTTTTCTCCTGGGGAACAGTGCAGGGTTGGGCCCAGGGCCCAGGCCTCATCACTGACCTGGCATGGGCCCTTCACACACCCTCCAGCAGAGAAGTCCCAGCCAGGTCTAATACAGGTGACTTGGAGGGGTTAGCTCAGAGCCAGCACAGGCCACGTAGAGTCAGGAGTCTGTTCTTCCAGAAGGAGAGACGAGGGTAACCCAGAGACTTGCCCAACGTCACACAGCTCAGCCAAGCAAGTCAGTGGTCTGGAACCTTGCCCACCTAGCCTTTTAGCCAGCCTTCCCTGCCTCCGGCCCCCACACTTACTGGAAAGGTGTTCACTGTCCTACGGCGATGGACTTGGGGTGCGGAGCCTATAATAACACGCGGGGACTCCCATGCTGGTGAGAGCTGAAGTTTATTAGTGGCATCAGGCTTTTGCAGACTCCGGCTCACACAGGATAAGGGAGGAGGTATTGAGGAGCTTAGGTAGTTACATAAACCTTTCTACAGCATCAATTGTTTCAACAGCCTTGTTTGAAACTATCTTCTTGTTTTCTATGTCCAATCAATTGTCAGAGAGGAGAGACAGAAAAATCCTCCCTCCAAGGATTCACTCCCCAAGTGACTACAACTGCAGTCAGAGCTGAGCCAGTCCAAAGCCAGGAGCCAGGAGCCTCTTCTGGGTCTTCCATACGGGTGCGGCGTTCCAAGGCCTTGGGCCAACCTCGACTGAGTTCCCAGGCCACAAGCAGGGAGCTGGATGGCAAGTGGGGCCGCTGGGATTAAAACCTGTGCCCGCATGGGATCTTCGTGCATTCAAGGTGAGGACTCCAACCACTAGGCTACCGTGCTAGACCCACCCCACTCTTTCTTTAAAAATAATAAAATCAGAGTGTTCTAAGGGAAAGGTGTTTCCGCAGTGGGTGCACAAGAGGGCCCTGTTCTCCGTGTCACCCGTCTTGTGTCAACCTTGCTTTTAGGGCACTCTATAAACCATACCGATAGTTGAGGATCCAAGGTTGGCCCACTTGGTAAATGGGGGAGGAATTTGCATTGTGCAATTAAAAAAAAAAAGATGAAACTTTATGCATTCAGATGAACAAGCCCCTATCTGTACCACACACCACACCAGGTCAGGTGAGGGCCGGGGTCTGCGTGCGTCCCGGCCTCCTTGGGAGACGCCGTTCTCATCTCTTCCTGGGACTCACTTCTCGGTCTCCTTTCTCTGCTTCCCACGATTGCAAACCCTCGCCATGCGCAAACCACGGTTGAACCGCGCGAGCTCAAGTCCCGCACAGCCAAAGGCCGCAAGGAGCCCTGCGGGGCTCCGGGACGCTCGGCGGCCGGGATTTCGCGTGGCCGCCCAGCTTCTGGCTCCTGCGTCCCCTCCCGCCCCGGGCCTGCCCAGCCAATCGGAGCACCGCGGAGCGCGGGCTGGTGCGCCCCGGGCCCGGGCCCCACCCCTCTTTGTTGCGGCGGCCAATGGACGCCTGCAGAGCCTCGGCCGCTGCCCGGGTGACTCGGTTATATGTCACAGGGTAGCGCTCGAGAATGGGACATGGAATGAGGCGACGGCCGCCCCGGGCCCAGCAGCAGCAGCAGCAGCAGCAGCAGCAGCCCCCGCCGCCCGGGGAGGCCCCGCGGCGATGAGCCCGGCTGACCGCAGGTGGGTCCCGGAGCTGTCCGCTTCCCGCCCGCAGCCCGTGCCCGCAAGCTCCCGGCGCTGGAACTCAGGCACAGCAGGCGCTTTGCAGCCCTTTCCGCGGGAGCGCGGGAGGAGTGTGTGTGCGGGGGGGCGGGACCGGCCTTCCCAGCGCGGGGACCCGAAGGGCTGCCGGGAAGACTCGGGTCGCTTGCAGCCCGGGCTGCCGCAGCGCCCACGCGCCGGCCGGTGCGGGGCTCGGCCACGCCTGGGCAGCTCCGGGCATGTCGGGGAGGGCGCGGGACACGGTCCCCTCCCACCCCCGAGTCTAGGTGCGTCTGCAGCTTCGTGCCCGGTTTTGAGCAGCCTTTCTTAGGGAGTCGCACGGCGGGAAGCTCGGGCTCGGTTCCTGTGGGGTTTGCCGCGCGTGCCGGGCGCGGCGAGGGAGACAGGGCGCCGCGTTGCTTGCTCCCGGAGGTCTACTTAGATCGTGCCATCTGCTAATTTGTACCCACCGATTTCAGGCACTGCCGGTGAACCGGGAGCCCCGCCGCTTCGGCCCCTTCGCGTCCTGCGGCAGCGAGAGGCATGGACAAGGCCGCCCCCGCGGGGCGCTGATCCCCGCCGCGCGCCCGCACACGCCCCTTGCCGCCACGCGCCACCACGCGCCACCCCCAGCCTCGGTCCCGCCATGACCGGCTCCGCCACCGACTCTCACCGCTGCCCTCACCCCAAAGGCGCCAAAGGCACCCGGTCCCGGAGCAGCCACGCGCGGCCGGTGAGCCTCGCCACGAGCGGGGGCTCGGAGGAGGAGGACAAAGACGGCGGGGTGCTGTTTCACGTGAACAAGAGCGGCTTCCCCATCGACAGCCACACCTGGGAGCGCATGTGGATGCACGTGGCCAAGGTGCACCCCAAGGGTGGCGAGATGGTGGGCGCCATCCGGAACGCTGCCTTCTTGGCAAAGGTGAGTGGTTTCCCAGAGGGAGGTGTGTGTGTGTGTGTGTGTGTGTGTTAGCACGCGGGCACCGCACTCTCCCAAACGAGCAAATAGAGGCCATCTCCATTTTACTCCTCTGCCGCAGCTCCCCTTCCCTGCCGCCCACCAGCCCCTTTCCTAGTGGACAAGTTTGCCTTGGAAGCCTTGGGAATGGGTGGGGAAGTGGTCAGCGACAGGCCTTCCTGGCGGGGGCGTGTGTGTGCTGTGGGCTTGTGCCAAGGTTCCTTTGAAGCTCCAGCCAAACTCTTATTTACTCATGCCCTCAACCCACCCCCGTCCTGCGAGCCGCAGGGTCGCTGGGGTCTTGCCAAGGATGCACAGATCCCCAGGGTCCCCCTCTGCGTGTCCTCTTTGGATCTGGTGCTCCTCTGCCTCCCTCTACCTCCCAGGCGAGTGATTTATTAAACTGTGAATGAATTTGCAATCAGCCCGTCAGACTTCTCAGTGTGAATCATTTTTACACTTTCTGCCAATTTTTTTTTTTCCACGACAGTGACTTTCACCTCTAAAACTTGCAAAACCGCATGCGGTCTCACTTCCCAGCTTCTCTGGGCTCCAAGGGATGGGGGTCAGGGAAATTTGAGGAAGTTTTATTGGCTATGGCTTAAAGGGACTTTCCAGCACCGATGATGAATTAGTCCTACTGGATGGAGAAGGGGGTGGGGAACTCTGTTTACCTTGGAGAGAAGCCAGTCAAGTCAACCCACTGGGCTTGGTGGCCCAGGATGTCGCTATGTGCCGAGGCAGATGTCCTGGTGAAAGGCATTTCCTTGGTACGGTTCCCACTGCTAGCAGGGAAGACACACTGCCGAGCCTTGGCCACAGCTGGCTGGATGGTTGCTCCCCTGAGCCCCCGGGGACACTGGCGGGGGACTGAGAAGATTCCTGGGCAGGGCTGGCTATGCTAGACGTGAGAGCTGGAAGGTCATCTGGTGCTGTTGCCAGGCCGGGGACAGTTGAGCATATCAGGCCAGGAGCCCGGGTGTGTGCCCTTGGAGAGGTGACAGGTCTAGGCTTCCTGCTACAGTCAGCTTGCTCCTCGGTCACAGGGTTCTTGTTGGGGACCAGGTAGGCTCTGGGCCCTCTCTTAGCGCCGGCCGCCATCACCATGAGCACAGTGCTGTTTTGCGTTTGCAGCTCTAGTTTCAGAATTTCTTCCTTACTGAAGAGCTGGAAAGAGAGGTTGACCCAGGGGTCCGAGACCAGATCTTTCTGTCTCTTGCTGTCTTTCAAGTCACACCCGCAGCACTGACACTGCCTCTGCGGGGTATGTGGGGACCCCTTTCTCCGCACGGAAATCACGGTGATTCAGGACAGCAGAGCGCCCCCCGCCCCTGTCGTCTAAAGACCTCCAGGAACTGGGGGGCTTGTTGCCTCACTGGGAAGCTGACATGTCAGGCCTGGCTGTGCTGGGTTGTGTGGACACAGTCCTCCCTAATCCCTGTGGTCCCGTGTCCCCACTGGTTCTTGTGCTGCCCTTTGCAGAGTCCATGGTCTGTGTTACTCACTGTCCCCTTGGCTGTTGTGAGACAGCTCTTAGGGTGAAAGAGACTTGGAAGAAAAAAAACAAAAACAAAAGTAAATGAGAGGCCTAAATTCTAAGTTGTTCTCCATCTACCTTGTGGCCTGGGTGTCTCGCTTAAGTTTCGTCACCAGTTAATTGGGAGTGGACCAGAGTTTGTGTCAGGTTCTTTGAAAAGGCAGATTTATGGAGAGAAGGAGACACAGAGAAAGCTCTTCCATCTGCTGATTCACTCCCCAAGTGGCTACAATGGCCAGGGCTGAGTTGATCTGAAGTCAGGAGCCAGGAGCCTCTTCCAAGTCTCCTAAATGGGTGCAGGGTCCTAAGGCTTTGGGCCATCCTCGACTGCTTTCCCAGGCCACAAGCAGGGAGCTGGATGGGAAGTGGAGCAGCAGGGACAGGAAGTGGCAGCCATATTCCCAGCCCATGCAGAGCAAGGATTTAACCACTAGGCCATTATGCAGGGTCCAAATGCTGCATTCTTTAAAAAAAAAAAGTCAAATTTTTTTCTTTAAACACAGCCGCCACATCAGATTTTATTTTTTCTGGGATTCACAGGTTAAGTGACAGCTGTTCCTAAGCCTGGATCCCCCCACCAGTTCAAATGTGGGCATTTGGCTTTGTGAACCTAAACATAGAAGTTAACATCTTTCTGTCTCTTAGGTTGCATATTAATAGTCAATTCTCCCTCCCAGTAAGCTTGCAGACCCCACCCTCCCTGCTCTGACATCTCCCAGTCCTCGTCCTGCCAGGGTTAGTCCTGCTTGGCATGCTCTTTCCTGGGGCCAAGTCCCTTCAGCCAAACCAGGAGTTTGCTGAGGAATCGGCGTGGAAAAGAGGTGGTGGGTGGATGGCGGCCATGGCAGAGGGAGTAGGGCGGTTTCAGGGAGATTAGCTCCTGGTGGCACCTGTGGCCTAAGCTGCGGAGGAAGCAGGCAGCGGAGGGAGACGGGGCTTAGGAGGAGGACCAAGTCATTGTTTCCTTGGAGGATAGGACATTGCGTTGGTTCCCTGGTCATTTCTGCCCTGGGGGTCTCCCCCTTTGGGCTTCCCCTGCTCTGTGTTTTTCCTCCTAATTTGGTCACTGTGGCCCCTTGACTAGCTGCAAGAGGTTTTTAGGCATTGTTGAGGAAGAATTGGAGGATCCTGGAGAGGGAGTAACCAGCCTAGAGGAAGCCAACCAGGCTTCCTGTGCCCTCCTTGGTTGGAGCTGACCTCTTGTTGGAGCAGAAGACCTGGGCAGGTCTTCAGCAGGAAACTTCCATTGGCTTCTTACAGATCTCATGTTTGTGTGGTGTGTGTGTTGTGTGTGTGTGTGTGTGTGTGTGTGCCTGCCTCCATTTCTCCTGTCATTGCAGACTTGGAAAGATGAAGGTACTTTATTTATTTATTTATTTATTTATTTTATTGTTGTTTACCTTGTATTATGTGGTACAGTTTTATGATGAAGGTACTTTAAAAGGTTCTTGGAAAATGTTTGCTGCCAAATCTGTTTGGAATCCAAACATAGTTTCTTAATAACATGTAACTTATGAACTTTGGAAAGTTCCTCTCCTATGCACGGATTGCCAATTTTTTTTATTTGCACCAAAATGAGCATATCTTTTAATTCCACTTTTCCATGAACTTGCTGGTGGTGCCTTGTGTTTCCTTTAGAGGAATGAGCTTTGTGTGAGTTAGGGAGGACCAGCGCTGGCGACCTGAGCCTTGGCTGTGGTCAGTGCCCCGTTCCTGGCCCCTGCTGGCTCCCAACCGGAAGCACTCTCTTCCTGTCCTCGATCAGTCTTCTGGACACACTGTTCAATCCAAGGTTGACCCCAGGACCTCTGCACTAGGCCAGATGCCTGGCTGGCCTTGATCTGGGAGCTGGGGCCCATCCTGAGCCATAGCTACCATGTCTGTTCCAGGTGGCCAGAGCAGAGTTTGTTCTGTGTAATATGTCTTTCCGAGTGGGAATGTCCAGACACTTAACTTTCTCCTTGTTCCTGTTCAAGCACGTCGCCTAGGCCTTTTCCTGTCCTCTCCCTGACCCTGGTCTCTTGTGTGGCCTTCCTACCACGTCCCAGGTGGCAGTGGGACTTGTACACACTGTACCCTTCCTCCCTGCTTTCCCCTGCTGGCTTCGGACTGGCAGGTGACGTTGGGCAGCAATGGAGTGGGAGACTGTGGGCAAGAGTCCTGTTTGTGGTTTGTTTCATGGAACCATCGTCCTGCCACTCCACGCCTCCTCCTTGTTCAGCCGCTCAGGACCTCCACAGCCCCCGCGGGAGTTGTAGGCCCAGTGGTTGTGTGAAGAGGTTGGTCCTGGTCTGTCTCCTCAACTTTGTTTCTTTGTCAGCTGTGTTGCTGTGTGCTGAGCTGAATGTGGGGGGAGGGGCTGGAGGTGAGCGCCTCCAGGGGGAGGGCCAGGGAGTCAGCATGGGAGGTTCAGATAGGCCTTTCTGAAATCCAGTAGGAAAATAGCACGAGGAGAGATGCTCAGGATCCCAGCTGGGTTGAAGAGTGAGGGGGTGCCCTGTGCTGTTTCTGTCGGTGCCTTGGGGCATCCAGGTAGCGCAGGGTACCTACCTGCTTCTCAGAACATCTCTGCTAATTGGACAGTCGGCAGTGACATGGTGTGGTAGCTGTCATCAGCATTTCTTGAACTATTAGTGAGCCTGAGTTTCACCCTCCCTGCAAATATTTGTCTGTGTTTTCATTTCTTTTGTGAATTGTCTTTGCATGGCCTTTTTAGTTTGGGTAAAATCTACATGATATGCGGCTTAGCTCTTGACCCATGCGTAAGTGTACAGTCCTATGGCACGAAGCCCTCCCACATTATTTTGCCATGGTATTCGCCACCCTTCCTGTCTTCCCCAACTGGAACTTCCCACCAGCCCTAGCAAGTCCTCTCATCCTTGCTTCATTTCCATTGCATATAGGACTCCACATCACGTTTGTTTTCATTCATTCAGCCACTGTAGATAATTGGGTTGTTTCCAACCTCTCGCACCATTTTTCCTCCTTGGAGGCATAGAGAGTTTTCTAATCACCCCGTGTGAACTCTTCAGGCATAATGGAGGTTAAGTCATCATTGAGTGTGTCCCCTGGAGCTATCATCCTTTAAGGTGCAAAGGTATTTTCATGACTGGAAGCTCCTGAGTGGAGTGTCCAGGAACCTGGGCCACTAGTGAGTCTGTTTGCCAGTTCCAGAAAAGGGTAGTCAATTCAGGCTCTGCCAGTATAGACCCCCGAGATCCTATTGCTGATGAGTAGTAACAGTGTGTACCTAACGACCGCCCTGGGCCGAGCCCCTCGTGCCTTCTCTACACAGCAGCTAGGTCTCAGCCTGGAAGTGTCAAAGGAGGGGGCTAGCAGGAGGAAACAGCAAGTCGGGGCGACAGCAAGGGTTTCATCCTGATATCTTAATGATGCTCCAGCAGCCTGTCTGTCTGATAGGCCATGTCTGGGGTAGAAGGGGTGGTGGACCTTGGCCACCTGAGGAAGCTGCCCCTGCCTGAGCCCCAGCCAGCCCTCCCAGACATCCAGGCAGGCGAGGTGTAGCCGGTGACATCATTCCCACTGCCGTTTTGGCTCCTCACCGCCTCCCCCTCCCCAGCCTGCTCTACTCGGGGCTGGGACTTGGGGAATGTCTGCATTTGTGCTCTCAGTTCCTGCCTGCTAGCCCTGAGCTCAGCTGGCAGGGGGGCTGAGTAAGTGAGCAGCTGTTGCTGAAAGCCCCAGGGCGCCGCTGGGCTGCTCTCCCCAGGCCCAGCTGCTGACTCGCACTCCCAGTGTGCAGCACTGTGGGCTCAGTGGGGTTGGGGGCAGTTAAAGTAAAGCTGTTGTCAGCCCCATAGCAGACTCCAAGCAAGTTGCTGGCTAGCTTACCAACTTCTCTGGGAAAGAGGCACCAGTGAGCCTCTCTGAGTGGTCATTTTTTTTCAATGTCCTTTTTTAAAAAAAATTTTAAGTTTTATTTATTTTTTATTTGAAAAGCAGAGTTACAGAGACAGGGGAGATGCATCTTCCATCTGCTGGGCACTCCACAAATGGCAATGATGGCCAGGACTGGACCAGGCTGAAGCCAGGAGCCTGGCACTCCACCTGTGTCTCCTACATATGGGTGTCAGGGACCCAAACACTTGGGCCATCCCCCAGTGATTTTCTAGGTGCGTTAGGAAGCTGGATTGGAGGTGGATGAGCCAGGACTCAAACAGGTGCTCATATGGGTTACCGATTGTTGCAGGTGACAGCTTACCCTCTGTGCACAAAATGGGCTCTGGAAAAAAAAAGTCTTAATAACTGCTGTGACCCTCTTTTCCTCTGCTCCTCTGCATCCTCTCCCATTTGCATTTGCCCGAGCAAGGAAATAGGAAATATTTGCCTGTTCTCCCCCTCTCCCCTTGCTCCTCATGGAAATGTCCGGCACATACTCAGCCTGCACTGCAGGCACGGGTCAGCCAGGGAATGCTATTGCCATAGGTAAGGATGAGCTTGACACTTCTGGTGTTTGTTAGGATGCAGACGCCCAGAGCCACCTCATCTTTCGACTGTGTATGGGAGAGAACAAATGCTCAAATTGGAATGTTCTGCTTCCCAAAATGACTCTCCCAGAAAGGAATGTGAATTGTTGGAGTGAAAGTGTGAGAAGCAGAATGTAGCAGGCTGAGCAGTTGTGCCTGTGTGTATATACACAGTCACATTCGCACACACACACACACACCCACACACAGTGCTTTGACTGTGATGGGGGAAGTGTGACAAGATCTCTGCACTGACAGACCAGTTGCTGACAAGTGGGACATCTCTAGGCTGAGAGACCAGAAGCACTGGGAGGAAGGAGATGGCCAGGGGTGCTGGCCATCGGGGTCACTTAGGAGTGGGAGCAGGGGGCAAATCCACTGTTCTCAGCTCCCTGTGGAGCCTGGGGAGGGAGAGGAGCATCCTCAGGTGGCCTGGCTAGGCTGCCCAGGGCCGTCCCCTGGGCACTCCCCGGCAGCTTCACCTTCCATCAGCTACACACCAAGTCCCCAGGGCCTCCCTGACCCTGTTTTCCCTGAGGATGGACCCGCCCTGTCCCTCAGCCCTGTGTGCTTCTCCCTGAATGCCCTGTGCCTGCAGCAGCAGCCTCCTCTCCCCGTCCCCGGATGGACGGCTTCAAGAAGAGGCTGACTGACAGTTCTGGTGGAGGAGAAGGGGGCGCTGCTGGAGGAGGCACCGTGTGCACAGGTGGCCATGCCAAGCAGCAGCTCGCTGGGGCTTGCAGCCCATGTCTGCTTCTCATGGCCCCGGAGCCCCTCTCTAATAACATGATCCTTGTGTTTCTCCACAGCCTTCCATACCCCAAGTCCCAAACTACAGGGTGTCGATGACCATCCCAGACTGGCTCCAGGCGATCCAGAATTACATGAAGACGCTACAGTATCCTTCCAGCCAGGGGCTGAGCCCAGCCAGCCGGGGGCAAGCATGATGATTACAAGCCTGGAGGCATATCTACCCCAGCTGATTAGCAAAAGCTCTGTAAGGTTGGTGAGGTCAGGCATGGAGTCTGCACAGAACAGGTGTGAGTACAGGAACCAGAGCATTCTGCCCCCAAGCAAGGTATGGGCAAGGGTGGCAAGGGTCAGGGGACAGTGAGGGCCACCTTGAGCCACTGTGGCTTCTCCTACCCATTCCTTTCCTTACCTTCCCGGGACCCCTCTTCCTTCCCTCTTCTGTTTATCCACCTTGTTCCCCTCGGTCATCTTTGTTCCCTCCTGCTCTCATCTGCTGCTCTCTCCCACCTTATTCCCACCTGTACTTCCATTCTTTTTCTTTCCTCTTCTACCTACTTGCCTTTCTCTTGAACTACTGGTCTACCAGAGATCTACTTGGTGCTGTCTTTGGTGTCCCAGGCCACCCAAGCTGATGACTTGGTTTGTTCTTGCATGAGTTGATGGCTCCAGGTGATTTAGTTGAGCTTGAGCTGAGGAGCCCTGTGGGTCCAGGCTGAGTTCAGCCTGGCCAGGCTTGAGGTCATTTCTACCCATGTCTTCAGGTTTCTTGCAGTCTGATCAGCTCGAGCAGCCCCTGTGGGCATCATGGCAGAGACCAAGGACCAGGAGTGAGTGGTCCGCTGGCCCCTTCTGGTGTATTTTCAGGAATGGGAATGAGGAGAGGAGCTGCTGGTCACAGAGTGGAGATCAGGATCCTGCAGTCCTCCGTTATTCCTTTGTAAAGGACTCAGTCTCCCAAAGGCCCAAGGCCCCAGGCTTGCTTTCTGTCTGTTTGTACCCAGCCTAGAGGCCCCAGGGATTTCTGGGAACACTGCACACCTCCTGTGTGTCCCAGGAGCCTGCCTTTCTCTGTGCATTGGGGAAGGACCTTGCCAGGGAACTGTGTCTGCCCTTGAAGACTGAGTACCAGCTCCCCACAGGGCTGAGTCTCACCAGGCGGGAATGACACCCAGCTAGTCCGTCCCCAGACAGAGTTAGCACCACTGACCTCTCGGCGCCTGCTGTTTGGAGTTTCAGCTCCCCAATTTGGCGTTTTCCTGGGGCAGTCGGGGTGACAGAGGAGGAAGTGAGGTGCCTGGCTCCCGGGGAGAGGCTGACAGCCCCAGCATGGCCACCTGATGCTGATCTCCAACCTGGAGACCCTACATGGGGAGTTCTGTGTGGTGCATGGTACTAACTGACTATTTTCTGAATGTGACTGGGTCCTCACGGATGGTTCTGGAAGGTGACAGAAAATGGCTCTCCACATCTGTCTAGGACAGGGCCTTCATGAGGTTCATCTGGCCGGAGAGGGAAGAGAGTGGGGCCCTGGCAGGGAGGGTGGCTGTGAGTAGAGTGACATGTGGTGTTGGCTCAGCTGCTGTAAGCTTGCAGCACATACTCAGCCATGAAAGAGCTGCATTCAAAGTTTCTTTTCTCCCACTTTGAAAAGTCCCTGCTTCCTCACACCCCATCCCTCCCCAAGAAATCAGGATGTGTCATTTATTTCCTCTGCTATAGTTTCCGGTCACTTTCCCTTTACATACCGCACAGATACAATCACACAGGGACCCAGTTCTTTGAAATTAGGAAAATGAGACCGCTGAGTGGGTAAGTGTCACTTGTCTATGGGCCAGATGCCTCTCTCCTACCCCTGAGTGGCCAATTCCCTCTTCCAGTCTCCATCCCTGGGTCCTGGTCTGTAAGGAGTCAGGGAGGGGGATACCCCAGAGGCAGTTGGAGGTGGGACTGAGTCATAGGCCAATCTAATGGCTGAGTCCAGTGCTGAAGACCAAGCCTCAGGATGGGGGAGCCTTGGGAAGTTGGCACTAGGAGGCCGACATTGTTTGTTCTGCTGCAACACTGCCTGTGCTGGTGCGTGGGAGGCATGATGGGGTGGGGTACTGGCAGTCCCTGGAATGAAGAATGATGAATTTAGGATTTTAGCACTGCCAAGTGCCATTGTACTTTGGTGCCCTCCTGTGAGATGAGTTCCTCCTTTCCCTTTATATTCCTGCATGATGCCTGGTTGGGAACCTGCATGCTGATGGATTGACAGATGCAACGACTCACCACCTAATTCAAGTCCTCTGCTATGCTCTATCCTATAGGCTAATGGAAACAGCAAAAGAGATGACCCGAGAGTCCTTGCCTATCAAATGCCTGGAGGCTGTCATCCTGGGCATGTATCCTTTAAATTGCACATGCTAGTGTCTCCTGTGTTGATGGTGGCCTCACTGTGGGCTCTTCGTGTCGGTATCATTCTACATTCGTAGAGATGATGTATAATCGAAGGGAAACCTCAAACCACCCTGCTGCCTTCACTTTCCCCATGTGGAGTGGAACCAAACCAATGTTGGGCTCCTTGAATCCGCATTTGTCCAACCTGTTAGCTATGGCTTCTATCAGGGCCAACCCAATCCGGTGACCTTGCAGATTCATGTCACCAGGAGAGTTCTAACTTGGAGGGACAAGAAAGCAAACATGGCATTTTTGTGATAATCTGACATGACAACAGGAAAGGCACTTGGATAAAATCAGGGCCAAGAGAGCCAGGATCCAAACCCATCTCCAGGCAAAATTCCAAGAGCGGATTGTGGAGATTAAGCAATAGTGATGTGTCCTGACTGGCCAGAACACGGCTGACCCAAGGTTCTGGGCTGTCCTCCCTTTTCTGTTCTATTTTCTGTCAGACTCCTTGGCCTGGCAGGAATAAGATCTAGTAAACTGTGAGAAGTTTGTTAGTGGTAATGGCACCTAAACATGGTCAGGTGGAGTTAAAAAGAAACTCCTAAATCTTCTAAGGTAGATGGCTGGAAGGGCTGGCGGCAAAGGAAACCTGGAAGGCTGTGGGCTTAGAGGTGGTCCTGGGGAAGAGCTGTTAGACTCCCGAGTGCTGTGCTGAGGCGTGACCTTCTTCCAGAACGCAATGGAAAATCTAGCTCTGAAGCAGAGGAGTGGCCTGGTCCCCTGTGCTCTCTCAAGAGATCTCTCTGCAAGACAGACTGAAGGAGGCGACTGGAAAAGACTGGGATTGGATCTGCAAAGCCCACTGGGAGCAGCAGCACTGAAGGAGGAAGAAAGGGGCTTGGCTGTATCTGTCCCATCTATTAATTTACCATTATCATCTCTTTCTGTCACCTATTATCCATCATCTATCTTACCCATCTGCCTTCTTTTGCAGAAGGATTTACTCTTACTGGCTTATGTACAACTATCTTCTCTATATCTATGTATTCATCTAACTGTCCAGCTATGGAGGTGGAAGAGAAGGAAAGGACTGCATATCATGTTGGCTTCCATCATAACACACATTGTAAGAGAAAGACTAGGAGAGTGGAGTCAGATTTATGAGTAGATGAACTCATAGATGGACAAATTGGAATTGAGGAGCCTGAAAAACATTGGCATGAGGTTCTCACCAAGAGGCACTACACTGTGAATACAAACTTGGAGCTTGTGTAGGGGGTTGCAGTTGATTAAGCAGTAACAGGAGGGTGGTGCCGTGGTATAGTAGAACAAGCCTTGACCTATAGCAGTAGCATCCCGTATGGGTGCCATTTCATGTCCAGGCTGCTTCGTTTCTGACCCAGCTCTCCTGCTTATGGCCTGGGAAAACAGTAGAGTAGAGGGTTACCCAAAGCTTTGGGTCCCTGCAGCCATGTGGGAAACCAGGAAGAAGCTCCTGGCTCCTAGCTTTAGACCAGTTCAGCTGTGGTCATTGTGGCTGTTTGGGGAGTAAACCAATGGATGGAAGAGTTTTTTCTCTTTCTATGTTTCTCCTCTCTATGCAACTCTTTCAAGTAAAATGTATTTTTTTTTTAAAAAGGCTTATTTATTTTTATTAGAAAAGCAGATATACAGAGAGGAGGAGAGACAGAGAGGAAGATCTTCTGTCCTATGGTTCACTGCCCAAGTGGCTGCAATGGCTGGAGCTGAGCCAATCTGAAGCCAGGAGCCAGGAGCTGTTCTGGGTCTCTCTCACGGGTGCAGGGTTCCAAAGCTTTGGGCTGTCCTTGGCTGCTTTCCCCGGCCACAAGCAGGGAGCTGGATGGGAAACAGGGCTGCCTGGATTAGAACTGGCATCCATATGGGATCCTGGCACGTTCAAGGTGAGAACCTTAACCCCTACACTATTGCACCAGGCCCTAAAATATCTCTTTTTAAAATGGCAGAAATAAGAGGAGAAAAAGATCAAAGATGTGAAATCCCAGTATTTTTGGATGAACTTAGATGTAAAAGACTATGAAGGAGCCTTTGGGAGGAAAGTGAGAGAGGAGGCAGGAAAGCCAGAAGATAAAGGAAACAGAAGAGGAAGCGGGGCAGGTGGTGGCCCAGTGGTTAGGATGTTGCTCAGGATGCCACATCCCAGACTGGAGTACGTAGAGTCTAGCCCCTGCTCTGCTTCCAAAGCTGCTTCCTGCTGACGCACACTTTGGGAGGTAGTGGATCATGGTTATTCAAGTGCTTGTGGTCCTGCTGCCCACAGAGGAGACCCAGATGGAGTGCTGGGCTCTTGACTTTGGCCTGGGAGGAGTGAGCCAGCATTTGGAGAATTTCTGTCTCTCTTTATGTTTCTGTGCTTCTCAAATGAAAACAGATTTTGTTTTTCCAAGAAGGACACATGTTCGTCATGAGGAGTGGTCTGCTGTGTCTCCTTTTACTCCTGAGAAGGATGTTTCTGTGTGTCTGCAGCTGAGGGAGCGCACTCAGGCCTGTTCTGAAAAATGGAAACTTGAGCCTGCCTGAGAGCTCCCTCCCCTTGCCCCCAGCCCCCGGGACACCTGCTTCCCGCACAGGAGGTGAAACATGCCTGGGGGTGGGGTGTCAAGGTAGCAGATGGCTCATGGCTCCTTCTCTTTGGTCTTAGAAGTCAGCCACAGCTGTTCAGTGGAGCCTTTTGCAAGTTTAATGGGGGTGAACAGTTGGTCATGAGCTGCCGGTGGAGGTCAGCGAACTCGAGGTTGGGCTGGTGATCTCACATCGGCTCTCTTGGCTGAGGGATGTCTGAATGCCACTAGATATAGGTCATCTTGCTTTAATCGACCGTCCTTGTCCCTGCATGATTTTATACATCCGGACATGCCGCCACTGGAATTAAACCTAAAGCCTTCTGACTTTGAAACAGCCAATCAGAGATAGCGTGCTCTCGAGTTTGCTTTGTTCCTACCTGGATGGTATTTTCAGCCAAGTTGGGGAATGTGGAGAGGTTTGCACACACTGCTGAACTCAGGGAAATTTGATTCTTGGATACAGACTAGAAGCACTGGCCTAACTTCTGAAAGTTACAGCAGCATCTTTGTCTTGTTTTTGCTCTGTGTCAGCACCCTTGAGTCCTGCTTCCCACATGGGAATGGGGAAGGTCATCGTTTGCGTCTCTCATGAATCCTTCAGCAGGTCCTAGGAAGCAGGAATGTCTGTCTGCCCAGCATCCACAGCGGTCAGTGTGGCTCCCTGGAAGCCTGGGTGCATGGCCCTGTCCTTCCTGGTGTTCTCTCTACACTGTAGCCCAGGGCAGAGGCCTCTTTAGTGAACAGACACACCTCTTGCTTTAAGAGAGACGGGTCGTAGAGCTCCCGTCTGCTGGTTTCCTGCCTTCACAACAGCCAGACTGGGTCAGACCAAAGCCAACATCTGGGAACACAGCCTGGGGTTTCCACATGGGAGGCAGGAAGTTGGAATCAGGTCCTGGAGCTTGGATCTGGACCAGGTACTCCAGTGTGGGAAGCAGGCATCTTTTAATTTGTATTTTGGCTGCCAAGCTAAGTACCTGCTGCAAGCCACTTCTTTTTACCCTGCTTAAACCCATGTGCCCATTTCTATCTGCTTGCTGGATAGATTGATTAGCTTTTGTTTCCAAATTCTCTATTGAATTAAGGGTACCATTCTGGGTGCCCTTACTGACCGGTGGCCCCTGCTCACAGCTCATAGTGCTAAAGTACTGTGAATTAGGAAGTTAGCAGGTTCATTACAAGCGTCAGTTTCAGTGTGTTCCAGGAGGCTGGGGTGCTGCTCCCCCACTCTTCCTGGGGAGACTCAGACTGTCTCCCTTGTTCCTTCATCCATCCCCAGCTGTTCCACATCTCAAGGCCATACTGATGGCTGTGATGGTATAGCAAATCCTGAAGATCTGAACAGTTATCCTGGCAGTTCCTCTGTTCCTCACCTCCACCACTGCTCCTGGATGGCTCCACTTGTCCCCAAGGACTAATTCCAGGGTTGCCGCACCCAGGCCTGCCCTTGTTCACCCAGAAATTTCTGGACTTGCCTCTCCTACAGCACACATCACATGGTGCTGTGGTTTTGTGTCTTTTTGTGGCAAAATATTTATAAGCTACAGTTTGTCTTTTTAACCTTCTTTCAGGGTGTAAGTCAGTAATATGGTCTGTTCCTAGTGCCATGCTTGGGACTGCCACCTTCTCCAGTGGAAAGTACTCACTTACATGGGCCCAGCCTCTCTCCACCACTGTTCTGTGCTCTGGCTCTGAATTTGCTGACTCCACGTGCCTCGGCAGAACTGGAATCCTACAGCGTCTGGCTTATTTCACTTGTCATGCCTCAAGTATCATCTTTGTTGTGGTTTATTGTAGGATTTCTTTTTTTCTTTTTATTGAAAAAGATTTACTGTATTTATTTGAAAGGTAGAGTGATAAAGAGACGAAGAAATTTTCTGTCACCTGGTTCACTCCTGAAATGACCTCAGTGGCTGAGGTTGGATCGGGCCAGGGGTCTGGGTGCTGAAGGCAGCTTTCTGTGGGGGGGTTACCCAAGGCTTCTGGCATGACTATGCAGGGTCAGTGAGAGCAGCAGAAGAGGTCCAAACGTGACCCCTCCTGAGGCCTTTCTTCCCCTCGCCATCTGGATGATTTGGCCAACCGGTCTTCCCTGTGTCCCCTGCCTGGCTTCTGGTTTTCACTTCTCACCTGGATGGGCCTTTGGTTCCTGGTGTGTCCGCACACGTGCCAGTCTGAGCACTTCATGCCAATAGCATTAGAGGAAAAAAACTTGTTAGTTTTGTGTCCCTTGCAGAAAACCAAACATGAAAACAAAATCCCTTATTAATGGTTTGCTTCATATTTATGAAGAAGACAGCAAGTTTTGGGTTGTGCATCAAATAATCAATAGTCAAGGATAGCAAATGAATCCTGTGCAAAAGGATTCATCTGGAAAGTTCAGACATGGGTCTGCTTAGAAGCAGCAAGATGGACTTACCCCTTCCCTTCCCATGAGATTTTGCTTCCTGGGCCCTAACACTGAGGATTTTCCAGACCTCCTTTCTCTTCCTTGACTTGGATCGTCTGAGATACTTAACCAATGGGCAGCCTTCCATTGAGCGATTCCCCATCAGCTTTAAAACCTGCTTCTCAGGAAACTGCTTTCACCATGTCGTGCTGGGGATTTACTGCAATGGCCGGTACGGCTCGCTGGGCATGAGCCGAAGGGCAGAGCTGATGGACAAGCCACTGACCTTTCGGACTCTGAGTGACCTCATCTTTGACTTTGAAGACTCCTATAAGAAATACCTGCACACGGTCAAGAAGGTCAAGATCGGGCTGTATGTCCCCCATGAGCCCCACAGCTTCCAGCCCATTGAGTGGAAGCAGCTGGTCCTCAATGTGTCCAAGATGTTGAGGGCTGACATAAGGAAGGAGCTGGAAAAATTTGCCAGAGACATGAGAATGAAGGTAGGTGCTGGGTGGACAATTGGGTGGTGTGAGAAGACACTTTTTTCTCATTTCCCATTCTCACTCTGCCCCTTATCTGGAGCCCATATTTGTAGGATGGACAAAAGCCATTCTGTTAAAATGAAAAATAGACACCATCTATTATTGGATATTGACAAAGTCTGTTTCTGCACATACCACTTGCAAAACCACAGCTCAAACTGTCTTGGATCTGATGGTGAAAGCAATGTCTTGGCCTGCAGTTCCCCTTATGAGAACAGACCTGTCATGTTAGCCATTTTATATCGATGCTCTAGTTGGTCTTATGCTGTCTTTACACAGTGATCACTCATTTCAATTTGCCTGGAACTGAAGAGTTTTCCAGGACATGAGATTTTCGTACCAAAACTGGGGAAGTCCCAGGAAGAATTGGTCACACTGCTTCGTGTAACCCATTTCAGAATCATATTCTGTGACTGGTTGGCCTGTAAATTGCAAAGCCCTTTAGCCTAAAAATCTAATGTGGTGTCACCATAGCAAAGAAGGCCTGACATAGACTTGGCCTTGCTTAAGCTGTCCTTAGAAGGTTGTCCCTCTGCCTGCTTTACCTGCAAGGTGACCAGAGGCCCACGGGGAGGGCCATTGTTCTGAGCTCAGGCTGGGTTATGTTTAGCACCGGGACCTTGCTGTCTGCCCTCCTTGTGTCTGGTGAGAACAAGCTGGTTTCTGAGGCAGCACAGATGAGGCTTAGCCTGCATGGAGAGAAACTTGCTGAGCTGCCATACTTGGTCCCAGGAGGCAAGGCACTGGGGCTGCTGCATTCTCTTTGCCTTGGAAAAGGGGGCCTCATGTGATGTGCCAGACTGCCCTCTGGGGTGTGACGTCCTTGCCTCCTGTCCACGCTGAATAAGGGGAACACATGGAGGTGTCTGATGTCTGCTCCCCACTCCAAGTTCCTGAGCAGGCCGGGCTGGGGTGCTGTGCAGCAGGAGAACTGAGGGTCCTGCTGGGACTGCTGTGGCTAACTCCTCGTGTTTCCTGCAGATCTTGAAACCTGCAAGTGCCCACTCTCCAACACAAGTGAGAAGCCGGGGGAAATCCTTGTCACCCCGAAGGAGACAAGCCAGCCCCCCGAGGAGGCTCGGCAGGCGAGACAAGTCGTGAGTAGCGTTTGCTTGTCCCCTGTGGGGTGTGTCTGGCCCTTGGGGTCCAGACTGTGTGCTAGGATTGGCCTTTGGGTCAAACAGTGGGCCCAGAAGGACTACCCTTCACTTGGGCTCAGCCGAGGGAGCGGCTGCACGGTGTTTGTTGGCCCCACAGCTCTTTCTCTGCTCCCCACCGGTTGTGCATACAAATAGAGGCATGGGCCCGCATGGCTTGCGAGGAAGAACGCCGGGCTTAGAGTTAGGCAGCCTGGGTCTGCTCCCAGTTCAGCAATGTGGCAGCTGTGGGAGCTTAGGTATGTCTTCAAACCTTCAAACCTTTCTGTGCATGAGTGTTCTCCACCCATATGCAGCATTTTGAAGATTTATGAATTTCCTGGCGTCCTGAGGGCCTGTGCACCAGGCACAGTGAGCGATGGCCTCCAGCTTTGCCCTGTTCCTTGTCTGACTCTGCCTACCCTTGTTTAGCCTCAAAGCTTGCAGATACCACAACAACTTCCTGGGTCAAAATCACCCGCCTAAAATGACAGCATGGAGCTGCCCGGGATGCCCCATGTGGCCAGGGACTACCCATGCACTGAATCTTAATTATTCCAGGAACAGGTTGCAGCAGTTGATCCCATGGACCTCCTGCCTCGTGGGGACCGTCTCAGCCCTGCTGCACATCAGCTGCAGAGCTGGGGGAGTCCTGTGCGCTTAGGGAACCTTAGCTTCCTCAGCCCTAAGTTGGCATAAACCAGTCTCCTGCCCCTCTGGCAAGGGTCTGGCAAAGGTCTGGCAAGGCTGTGGCAAGGACAGAATGAGCCAGTGCCATGACAGTGATCTTGCCGTGGGGGCGTCCTTACACAGGCGCTTCAGTCTTCTCGCTACAACCCAAGCAAGGCTTTCCTTTTCACGTGGAGGAAGCCGGATGTGGAAAGGATTTGTCTAGCTGCTGAGTGAGGGAGCAGGTGCTGGATCCGAGGTCCCTTGCCTTTGGGGAAGTGGTGAGGCACGGGAGTGAGGTCAACTTTTAGAAGGACAGAATAGGTTGGGGTCTCTTCAGCGCTGCCAAGGCTCCCTTACTTGCTGCCATCTCGTCTTCCACGGGCCAGTCCCAGGGCTCAACGTTTGCAGGGAGGAAGCAAGGAGTGAAAGGCTGGGTATTCCTGCAGCGCCCAGATGGAGGGCAGGGTGTTTTAGCTAGGTTGATCTTCAAGGAGCAAGATGGCTTCAGTCCTGTCTAATGTGGCTTCCTGACTCAGGGCTGCCCACCCCTTATCCATCCTGCCATCTGCCTGTGACCTTGGGTCCTGACCCTAGCCCTATCTCCCTCTTTGATTCAGTCTCTTTGAATAAGGTGGCAGTTGTCTCAGAAGACTATGGACAGGAAAAAACTGCCCAGAGCAGGGAGCCGACCCAAGACAAGACTTTATACATAAAGCATAGAGAAGGGCCTGCTGTCTGATTTAACACCCTTTACCTAAGGAACCTGGAATTCATCCCTTGGGAGCTTCTAATTTTTAAAATCTTTTTTAAAAGATTTATTTATTTATTTATTTGAAAGGCAGTTACCAAGAGGAAGAGAGAGAAAAAAAAGATCTTCCTTCCACTCCCCAAGTGGCCACAGTGGCCAGAACTGAACCAGTCCCAAGCCAAGAGTCGAGTTTCTTCTGGGTCTGCCATGTGGGTGCAAGGGGAGCCTTGAGCTATGCTCTGTTACCGTCCCGAGAGTATTAGCAGGGAGGGAGCTTCTGATCTTTAGCCACTGCTGAGCAGAATGTCAGGGCCTCTTCTTCCCCCTGGACCGGAGACTCAGGGCAGAAACCCCAGGAGTCCACGTACAGTGCAATCACTGGACCGAGGGTGGCTGCGCTTGGCTCTGAAGATGATCCCTCTCAAACTCATACTTGGGCCCACAGGGACTTCGCTGTCAGGAGCCTGTGAAGTCTTTAACCAGAAAAGACTCCCAGGATGGCACTGGTTTCAGGAAGTGGTTTTGGAGGCAGGAGGCAGGGGGAAGTTCAAGCACAGGTGGGGGTGAAGTGAAGAGTGTGGGAAATGCTCCCTGACTGACCCAAAGCAATCCCAGCCCCAGTGACAGGTGTCTGAGGACAGTGGTACTCGGTTCCATCACATCAGGAGCTTCCCAAAAGAGGTGAGCAGAGCCTGCGTCCAGCTCCTGTGATCCCTCCCCCAACTTCCCACAGCCCCTTTTCCTGATCCCGAAAATCCCCCTGCTTAACCTGCCAAGGGCTCCAAGTCCTGCATTGGGTTTTTCACAGCAGGTGGCCTTGGGCATGTGGCCCTTCGGGGAGCTCCAGCAGTGGGAACTTAGCTGCCCCCAGTTTCAGGGGAGCAGGTCTGGCAAAGGCCTGGGAGCAGAAGCCCTCACCCCTTCTCTTCTCTTTTCCCAGCCTTTTTGGAGGTTGGGGGCGGGGAGGAGGCGGTGGCCTTAGAGGATACAGAGCTTGCCTGAAAAGGGGAAAATGGACGCGGATGGAGCCTTTCTTCCCAAATCCTTGTCAAACTTGACCTCCAAGCAGCAGGGCTGGGGAAGAGATTGTAGGGCTCCCTGTGGGAAAGGGAGGTGTGGAAGAGAAGGGCTGTCAGAGGCAGGGTGGCTCCAAGAGGACCCAGACACCTGTCCCTTTTCCTCCCTCCCTATTCCTGCCCTCTCTAGATGCCAGCTGCCACCGTTGTTGTGTGCTGGAGCCCAGCACGCCCTGGTCCCCAGAGATCTATCTGGAGACCAGCAGCTGCCCAGCTTCTCCCCATGTTTTTGGCCAAGCAAGCTTCTGTCCAGGTAATCTGGCTTTTGGCAAAGGGATGAGAAGGTGGTGGGAACTCTGCAGACTCTAGAGTTCCTGGGTCGATGGTCAGCTGAGTTCCTCTCTGTCCTGTCACTTCAGCATCACGTAAATATCAGGTCATTGTCAAATGGGCTGGGTACTGCCAGGAGGCTGGGAGAGGCCAAGAGGGGACAGAGCGGCCACCCCAGGCAGGAGGCCACCAGCTGTGGGGTCCCCCCACCACTATCTCTGCATGAACCATTTTTGTGGCTTTATGTCCTGCTGCAGCCCCGAGTTCCTCTCCTTTTTGGCACTTGCCTCAGTCATCCCTTTAGAGAGCTGTGGGAAGGCCACATGGCTGTGAGTGCAAGAGACCTGCTGAGACCATGATGTCAGAAGGCCACAGGGACTGCCCCCCTCGCATGAGCACCCTCTTTCCACTCCCCATGGAGTAATGCAGGTGCCTTATATAAGTGGAGCAGGCAAGCTTGTTTCCATGGTTCATAAGCAGAAGGGGCTGGAAGCTGAGTTCCTTGTGTCTGGAGTCCTCGGGGCCCTTCCTTCCCGATTCTGGGGCTCCACCCCTTGAAGGTCTTCACAGCACTTCTGAGGCTCTGGGACCCCCTTGTCCAAGAAAGAACCACCTTGGGCACCAGCACTGTACCCTGCAGGGGCACATGTGAGGTCTCCACATCTCTGACAAATGGCGACTCCTGGCTAGTTGCCTCGGGACTGGGCCTGGGAGCGCAGGAGGCAGCAGGCGGTGGTTTTCTGGCTTGCTCATTCGTGTTGGCCAGTGGAGTGACCGTATGGAACCTTCTTTTACACTGCAGCCAGAGGACCCTGGATTGTTCATGATTCTCCTTCCTTTTTGTCTTCCTCTTTGTTTTCCTTTCTTGGTCGTCCATCCCTGTGGTGGTTAATGACTACTGATGGCTTTGTTCATCTTAAGGAAATGCTCAGGGTCCCAGAACTGAATAAGTGCTGTCTTAAGATAAGGTCCCCTTCTCAGGCCCGGCATGTGGCCTAGCAGCTAAGATCCTCACCTTGAACGCGCGCCAGGATCCCACATGGACACTGGTTCTAATCCCAGTTGAGGACGGTCTAAAGCCTTGGGACCCTGCACCGACATGGGAGACCCAGAAGAACTTCCTGGCTCCTGGCTTTGGATTGGCTCAGCTCCGGCTGTTGCGGCCACCTGGGCAGTGAACCATCAAGGGGAAGATCTTCCTCTCTTTCTCTCCTCTTCTTTGTATAGCTGCTTTTCCAATAAAAATAAATTTTTTTTTTTTTAAAAGAAAAGGTCCCCTTCTCATGAGGTGAGGACCACAGCTGGCCCCTGAGTTCCTGCTCTGTGCTGCCAGTGGGGCTGCCTCTTCCCGGGCATGTGGCTGAGTCAGGCCGAAGCTGATAAGTGAAGTCAGAGGTGATGGGATCCCATAGTCTGATCACTTGGCAGGTGTTTTGAAAAGGGCCCCAGGACCCCCTTTTCTTTAAGGTTCCCAATGAGAATGTACCCCCAAGGCAGAAAGAAGAAAATGTCCCCAGCATGGAAGGGAGGAATCAGGAACAAGAAAACTGGGAGGGCTATGGGGGGAAGGCAGCAAAACCTCTGTGAGGGTAGGAAGGGGCAGTGTCTGCCCTCATGGCCACCCCAATTAGTTCCCTATGCCCAGATCCCTGGGGACCCTGAAGAAACCAAGATGAAATGGCAGGCATCTGCAACAGCATGGGCGTCCCAGGGTGAGCTGGGGTCAGGGGGTTGTCTGGGTGGAGTGATGAGTTCGGAGCCTGGACACAGTGTCCTGGGAGCTCCAGCAGTGATCTGTGGTCACCCAGCACCTCCCACATGAGGAGGGCCTAAGAGCTGGGCCTGGGGGCTGGAGGCTCTTCTAGCCCCATCTGTGTGGCAGGGACCTCTGCTTAAGAGAGCATCTTGGGTTTTCTGTCCATCAGCTGCCAGCCGTGGCACCTGCTCTCCTGGGAAGTCAGGAATGTGAGGGCAAGGAGCCGGGTGACCTTGAATGAGGGTAGCAGGTGCCGATGAAATGGTGCCCGTTGCCACTTGTTTCTCTAGCTGAGGCTGCGCTTTGCCTCTGTGACCTACACTGCCCTAATTCCTGCCAGGCTTTCTGTCTGGCTAGCCAGTGCTGTGCCCACATCAGACTTCATCTGGTGTAAGCTGTTCCATACAATGGGCAGTGAGGACTAGGGAACCAATGTTACTGTGCATCCCTTCCTATCGCCTTAAAGCTTCACTGGGGCAGGGTCCCTGCCAGCCAAGTTTCTTCCCATGCACCAAGGTGGCCTCAGGGTGTGTAGGAAGGACCCGACGTGCACACGCCAGAGTTTAGGCAGCAATGGCAGGTACCAGGAAAATTATGAGAAGAAACGTGGCAATGTTTTGAGAATTAGCAAGTAAGAAATATATGGATTTACTCCCCACTCATACCTCCTATCAGCCTGCCTTCCCAGCCTGCCCCTGTCACAACCTTTTCCCACTCCAAATGGCGTTAAGGGTGGACTTAACCTGGGCCGCCAAGCTGTCACCTGGGTCGCGAAGAGACCGGGGTTTCCCAAATGCGTGCAGAGACAAGAACCTCCTCCCCTCTTCCTCCCCCTCCCCCTCTTCCTCCTCCTCCTCCTCCCTTGGCAGAGTGAGTCACAGGAACCTTTGCGCCCTCCCCCTCTGCCCTCCACAGGAAAACCCTTTCATTTCTTTGGGATGGGGCAGGGTTTGGAGAAGTGCATTGTTCAGCCTGAAATGCTGACACTGGGTCTGATGAGAGCTTCTGGACAAGTGCTGGCTGAATCATCCTGGAGCTTGTGTTTCTTAAAAATAGGCCCCCTGGCAGTGTCCTAATTATAGCTGGGAGCACTTGGAAGAGGCCTCTGTGCACACAGGAGCTCTCGCCCGGCGCTGGCCCTGAGACAGCTGGCAGGGGCTTGCCGGGCCCCATAGGCAGGTGGAAGCTGTGGTAACCCACGGCTGCCATCCCTCTGCCAGGCCAGCTTCCTTTGTTTTCTGCCAATGTTAGCCGTTTTCTTCCCCCTGGGCTTTGGGCACCCAGAAGAGGTCCTGGGTGGTGGTGTGGGGAGGGGAGGCAGACAGAGATGATAACTTAGTTCTTTGCCCTTGGCAGCATTTGAACTGCTTGCCATGGGAGACCCATATTCAGTTTAATGAGGAGCTTTCAGGGTTAAAGGAAGTCCTGTCCTATATCAAAATATAAGCATATTAGATGTATGTTAATCTCCTAAATATTGTCATGGTAACTTGAATTTCAAGCTTAGACACTTTGTTAAAATATTCTGTGATCAAAGTAACTTAGGACACCCTATCAGCCAATTGGGGCATCAGGCTTGTCCCAGTTTTATGAGAGCTCCACGCTCACTGGTGGGGATTCGGAAGGGAGTTTGCTTGGCTCCTGCTCTCAGATTACTCAGTCTGTAAGGCAGGTGCAAGGGATATAGTTCGGCAGGATTCTTCATCAAATGACCTAGAGGAAATGCCACGGGAGGCAGAGTGAGCTGTAGAGTGTAAGGATTTGGGAGCTAGGATTTTTGAACCAGTGATGAAGACGACGGGTGGGCACTCCGTCAGCACAGTATAACCCACGTGCAGAGGAGGCAGGTGTGGCCATGATGTCCTTCCTGGTTGGCTGCCTGGGAGGAGGAAGGAGCAACTGTGTGCTAGCTAAGGACGCGGACGCCAGAACTGCAGGATGGACTCTGGCACCGCCACGCTGATCATGTGACTGCTCTAAGTTCCCTAACACTCAGTGCCTGCACTTTCTCTTCTGTGGAATGGACACTATGAACCCCACAAAGTCTTATGATAAGGATTCATGAAGTCATGTAAACTTAGACTAATTGGCCCCCATACATCACGAATGCCTGACCACTAAAGCTGTTTCTCCCAGTGACTTCTTAGCCCTGCAATCCTTGGCGGGGGGGACTGCGAGTCCACAGTCCAGGCAGAGTAGGTGGCTTTGGTCCTCTTCCCTGAGCCCCTGCAGCCTTTCCTGGAGGCACGGACAGGCCTGAGGAGTTCCATCCGCCACCTTGTCAACTGTGTTGAGCCTGTGTGCTGCTGGCACCACCTCTGTTCACAGGGGAGCAGTGTGTGTCCAGAGGAGGAGACGTGTGACTTGGCACCAGGCTGGGCCAGGGCCTCTGAGGTTAGCGGGGTGTGGGGAAGACTGACTTGGACATGAGGGACTTATGGCTTCTCCTAAGTGGAATTAGGAACCTGTGCTTCCTCCTGCACACACCATCCTTCCTTGGGCTGCCTCAGTAGGAGTCCTGAGTGAGACAGTGGAGGGACACGGGGACCGTTAGCATCAGGCTTGGCTGTAAGGCTGCAACTGGGGTTTACACAGGATCCATGACTAAAGCCTGATGGGAGGGAACTGGCCTCCCCCTGCTCTGCTGTCTGTAGTGGTCCCCTGGAGGGCCAACGCCTGGACATCACATCTGTGTTCCCACCAGCCAGGAGAGAAAAAGATGGCATGCCTTACCCTGGTTCATCTTTGGAAGAGGGTTCCTGGCATCTGACTGTCTCTGCCATCTCCTGTGGCCACCGTGGCTAGGGGAGGATGGAAGTATAGTTTAGAATATCTGGAGAGGGAGTGTAGGTGCCAAGGGGCAATGGACAGGCAGACTCTACCACACAGACCATGCAAACACAGCAACTAAAAAATAATCTAAGGTGGTTTCTTTTTGGAACAGGGATACAGGCTTGCTAAGTAAAGGAAGGAGCAGTGTAGAGATATTTCTAATTCTCTAGGAAATTGAGAATGTATCCAAGGAAGTAGGTCTCAGGTTAGCTGCTTGGAAAGGGGATCCCATCTTAAGCAAGGAGATGAAGCAGGCTCAGCGGCAATGCAAGACATAAAGAGTCCTTAAAACATGACTTGAATGTGGGGATCCTAGCTTGCTCTCTGCACATGAGCCGGCTGAGGGCTAGGGCAGGGAGCCAAGTTGAAGCATGAATCCTTGAGCAGAAGTTGCCTTTGGCTGTTAAGCCTACGAATGGTCCTATATAGGGTGGCTGCTGGGAGCCACTGCTCAGTGCCTGCGTCACAGGGAATGGCTTATCCCTGGCAGTAGGCGGGGAGATAGCAGGGGTTGTAGACTGCAGGCCACTGTCACTGTGAAGGCCAGAAGCCTGATGCTTAGGTACAACCAGCAGGACAGAGCTGGCAGTTGTAATGACACAGTGTCAGGGGTGTGTTCCCGGGCTCTGTGAGAATAGACACGAAGGAGTAGAGAGGACTGGCTTGGCAGATAGAGCAGGGCACAAGGTCAAGCTGGGGAATAAGGCCCAGGTGACAGAGGCAGACAGGGTCAACAGTTACCTGAGCAGGGCTGAGCAAGGGCCACGAGTCGGAGCAGGTTTCTTGACTATCTGGGTCAAGTTTCCAAAAAGCAGATCATAAACCCGTGATGGCTCTTCCTTCCCATCTAGGACAGAGAGAAGAGGGGAGGAGGGTGCATGAGACAAGTTGTAGAGCTGGCAGGCAGGAGTGGCACTCACAGAGCTGAGCTGCCAGCACTGAATGAGTCTGACCACTTTTATGCCAGGGGCAAACTATTTGCTGTTAGATAATCTTCCATGATAACAATGAAGAAACTTCTTGGCAATTGTCACTTTAAAAAATCCACACACTTAGGAGTTAATATCTAATCTATAATCTATAATATCTTTGACTTTGGTTTTTGAACGTCCTAAATCCTTTCAGGGTTCTCAAAACCGGTTGTCCAATGTCTGGTGTGACCTAATTCAGGCTTAAAGCTGAAAAAGGCCATCCAACACTCCAAAGGCTTGCTTAAGTTCTACCCTAGGAACCTGGCAAAGTGTTCCTTGAAAGCGAGGCGCAGAGCTGGGAGCTGGGGCTGGCAGGCTCTGGGGTGCTGGGGCGGGGGGAGGGGTCAGGAAAAGGATTTGGTTTCCTTTCTCCCACACACCCCCTCCTCACGTCCCCCTTGTCTTTTTCCCCCTAGGCCCGCACTGCCTGAGAAGAAGGTGGCCGACCTCAGCCCTCTGAATGAGGTGGGTTATCAGATCCGCATTTAGCCCAGCCCTGCCGGCCAGTCTGAGCGTCCCGTGGTGCTTCCCTTGCACTCTGCCCAGCGTCTTCAGCTGGGACTGCAACTGTTCATGAAGAATTCACACATTTTCTTTGTAAGGACTGACCTGGAAATCAAACCTGAGTGAGTGGCAACAGTTAACTGTGTGTGAACAGTTCACCAAGAGGCAACTGTGAAAAGACTGCAGTCCTCAACCTGGCTGCTGTTGGAACCGTCCGCCCTCACTCAAGACCTCAAGGATGACAACCATGACTGTAGTCTTCTATTTTTCCATTTCCCTACTTTGTGTAATTTGCTTTGGATGTGACGCCATGCCAGTAGTCTGACATTAGTCTGCCAAGTCTTCTCTCCCATTTTTGGTACAAGTAAGGTCACTCAAATCAGTATTACTGTCTTTTTCAGCAATAACAGAAGTAAAGCTAGGTGGGTTTTTTTTTTTTTTAAAGCAGTTGCTATTACCTCAGTATTTTAACATTGAATATGCAAACCTAATGGTGTTTTTTTTTTAATTATTATTATCTTTGTATTGCTTCCCCAGTACTTCCTATGGGGATCTCCACGAGTTAGGGTTTGTTTGTTTTTTTTTCCTGGTGCACACATATGATGAGACTTAACGGTTATTATATGCAAGTGTTTTACTAAAAAGCACTGAAATTCTTCTGGCAATACGGGAGTCCATTTTCAGGATCTTACAGTTACTTCCTCCTTCATGTTTCTTAAAGTGTTCTCCGACAGTTTTTGAACTTCCCGACCAAAACAAGAGGCACGTTCAGAAGCTCGTCCGTGTTCTGTCACTAACATTTAAACTTTGCAGATGTCACCAAAAAGCCCAAGAGGCCACACACTTGCTCCACATTCAGCATTATCATGATCGCCTCTGACAGTCACCACTCAGAAAGGCGGAGAGGGCGGGTCTGAGAGCCATACAACCTCCCTGCTACCTTCCACCTGACTTTCCAACGCTGAGTCAAGGTTTTGATTCTGATTGCTAATGCTGCGTTCTTGGGTCTTACATTAAGGCCAAACATGACACTGCGTGGTTTTCTTTTCCAGGACCTTGTTTTAAGTGCTATTGCACGACATTTAGGAAGTATTATAAAACTGAATTAGAGAATCAAAGCATTTTTGTTTGAATAGAAGTCTTTGGTACAAAGCCCGTGAAGCAGGCTGGATAGAATCTGACTTCTGCCTGTAGCCCACACAGGTTGGCTCGCTCAGTGTGTGCAGGCTGTTGTGTTGTAAAAGCCTGGAGAACAGCATCTGTGTTCGCTTATTATCTTAGCCATCATGTCAGCTTAGGAGATCCAAATGCATCTGAAAGTGAAGTCTGTCACTGAGTGTTACACAGCAGCCTCGGGGCTTCTCCTCTGGCTTCCTCTGAAGGTGGTGATGGGATGGGAGAGAAAAAAAAATCTAGTCACAAAAATTCCTCCTCAGTAAAATTCCAGGGGTGACAATGAAAAGTTCACTCTGCCCTCAGTACTAATGAAAAGTAGTTTTCTTGTAAAGGCAGTCTAATGTTCTTTAGGGAAGAAAACTGAGTGAGTATGTGTCAAGGAAAATACTGCATTATCCCCGTCAACCTTCATACGGCAAACCTGGTTACAGCCTCTTGTACTTAGAGGCTTATGGTCAAATGTTTGATTCTCATTCTGAAATAACACTGACTTAGTAATATATCTTTGTGTAACCATCTGAAACTTGATGACATCCAATTAAGTACACTACCTGAAACACGCGCCCCATTCTACAAGTAAGAGTTTGACATAGGATTTGCTAAGTATTAAAGTCTATTCCACTTAAAATCCACAATGCCAAATAGCTGCATGGTGTCTGGTATGCAATAAAAATGGAAAAAAAGTAGAAACAGCTCTGTGCTGATGCCTAAACCCTAAAACTGCCAACTGGCTCAATGATGGAATTAGTAACTTAATTTTCTTCCCTGCTCAGTTCTTCAATTGTGGATGAATTTTCCTAAAGTAATGGTTAGTCACAGAAACATAAAAATTCATTTCAAATGGAATTTGTTTTTTTGTTATTCTAGTTTTACTATCCATAGAATATATTTTCTAAAAGATGGAAAAGGCTCAAATTCTAAAAATTACCTCTATCCCAAATGTCAGACCTTCCCCAAATTGATTTTAAAGCTGGTATATTCAAAATATATTAAAAAAAGGAAACCAAGAAATGACTGGAAATCTAGTTTTAAAAGTTATCATGTAACAGAAATTTCACGTTTATGCCATTATGGTTATATATGCAAAGTTTAAATGGATGGCAGAGATCTTGATTTCAGACTATATGTTGTGCTGTTTTGAGTACACTTCATTTCAGAAAGTGACATTTTGTATTTTCTATACACTCAGAAATCATGAGCATTTCACTTTTTCTAAGTCAATTATTTCATAAGGGTTTTATTAATAGATATTGGTAAATAGAACTTTGGAGATCTTAATTCAGAATTCTTACTATACCCAAGGCTTTTGTAATCTATAGTTTTATGTACAACCTTGTACAGTTTTTTTGACATACAATTCAGAATCTTGTTTATTCTCTTGGACTTTGTTCTGGCCAATACATTTTTTTTTTAAATCTTTAAGAAAAAATTATGTGATTGTTTTAGTGGGTATTTTTCTAAGTAAAAGAAAACTTGTATAATGGTATTTTAGAGAATGCCAGCTAAATGCATGTTTCAAGTTCATGTTTTTCTCATCACTTGTATGTTTATACACAGCATGGGTCTTTAATAAAATCATCCTGGAAACTGAAGCCTTGCTTTCCTTCTAAAAATCTAAGATGGTGTTCTTTTCCCGCCTATCCTCTTATTACATATGTGCTCGCAGAACTAATTTCTCACACTTTCATTCTTCTTCTTTCACAACTTTCAGACTCTTAAATACTGATCTATTTTGGCATACCTCAGTGTACTTTTTGGCGTCAGTGTATATCCTGAAGATGGAAGAGGAGGAAGAGTTGAGAGGAGCAACAGGTCAGCATTCCCTGCTGAATCACCCATTACAGAACTTTCAGGCACAGATATCCAAAGACATGGTTTATTACATAATTTACAAGTACAAAATGCAAAGGACTTGGTATGTATGAGAGCTGAATGGGATGTGGGACAGACTGGGTCAGTCTGCTGTACATACTGGCAAGCATGGGAACCAGGGCAGGGAGCAGGACTGGTGGGGGTTATTGTGGGTTGCTCCAACTAGGCTACAACTCCCCCTGGCTTGGATGGGGACCGAGTAAGCAGTGGGCAGGATTAGGCTGGACTGCAACACCCATTGGTTTGTGAGGAAGACAGGGCTGGAGACAAATGACCTAGCAATTACAACAAATAGTGTGTGTGTAGGCTGATTTGGGTGATGGACAGTACCAAACTCTGTATTGGCAGTGCACACACAAGAATCAGGTCTGGGATCACCTCAGATGAAGTTTCTTTGGAAATCCCCCCAACTGAACTGCTGGACTCAGAATTCCAACCATGGAGGAAATTGCAGGTTCAATGATCTGATCATGGAATGCATGTGTAAGAGCTGGGTCTCCTCAGTGGCTTAGAAGGAGCAGTGGACAGCATATCCAGGTGCACATGGAGGATATGGCAGTACACTGGAGCTGGCAGAGGATACCTGGTACCACAACAGAGGATGGAGGGCATAACAAATAGCAGATAAGAATTGGCAGTGAATACCTGGGCAAATGGAGACCCTAAGGTCGACTATGTCAGCCAATGGAGTCTGGAGAGATTTCATTGTGATTGGAAATACAGAACTGCTGAACTATCAAAACCACTTGAGCAGGACGCTTGGAGCTTGCCCCACATTGGGGACCCTGGGATGGTTGGGAGGCTGGGTGTGGCTTTTCCCCTTGTCTCTCCCCTCTGCCCAGATACAGAAAAAGAAGAAAATGTGAAAATAACAGTCTCACCCACTTTCCTCTAGCCTTTGACCCTTCGCACTCTAACCAAATATATAAAAATTATCAAAAATAAAGTCTGTACAATTAAAAAAAGATAAGTGGATGATTATTTTTAGTGGAGTTCTGAAAACGTTATGAGAAAGTCATCACGACCCTTTGCTTTCTAGCGCACAAAATAGCATTTTATTTGATAAGTTAAAATCGAAAGCTAGTTCATAGATTAACTACATTTATACTATGTTAATCAGGATATAAAAAATTTTCAGCAATGTTCAAGTACAATGACCTATATTCATAATGTTACTTGTGAAATTCACATGTCACAGTCACTTTCCTTCCCTAATATTAAAAAGGGATAATTATATTCTAAGATGTTGACCACTATATCTGCTAATTGGGATGTAGCACAATCTACAAATTACTGCTAAAAATCAGAATAAACTAAAAAAAATTTTAAAAAGAAAATCCTAGAAACACTGAAAAGTACTTGCTGCCTACAATTCTGCCAGGCAAGTCCTAATAACTCAAATGCTTTCTTTGAGAATTTCATCGTTTATTTTTTAAAAACAATAGTAAATGCTTGAATATAAAATTCTTAAAATCGGGCCCGGTGGCGTGGTCTAGCACCTAAAGTCCTTGCCTTGAATGCGCCGGGATCCCATATGGGCACTGGTTCTAATCCCAGCTGCTCCACTTCCTATCCAGCTCCCTGCTTGTGAAAGCAGGGAAAGCCGTCGAGGATGGCCCAAAGCTTTGGGATCCTACACCCGTGTGGAAGACCTGGAGGATGTTCCTGGCTCCTGGCTTCGGATAGGTGCAGCACCAGCCACTGTGGTCACTTGGAGAGTGAATCATCAGACGGAAGATCTTTCTCTCTGTCTTTCCTCCTCTCTGTATATCTGACTTTCCAATAAATAAATAAATCTTTAAAAAAAAATTCTTAAAGTCCAAAACTATCACTGTTTTCCAATTTGAGCTGAAGCATTCTATTAACAAAATCCATTATAGAAACACTGATAATTCAGTACAAAATGACTGCTTAGTAGAAAAAAAAATGTAATTCTATGATCCTACTGGTGAAAAAAGATTTCTACTTTGTATGTTTTAAATCTTGGGCCCAGCGTGGTGGCCTAGCATCTAAAGTCCTCGCCTTGAATGCACTGGGATCCTATAGGTTCTAATCCTAGCAGCTCCACTTTCCATCCAGCTCCCTGCCTGTGGCCTGGGAAAGCAGTCGAGGACGGCCCAAAGCCTTGGGACCCTGCACCCGTGTGAGACCTGGAGGAGGTTCCTGGCTCCTGGCTTTCGATAGCAGCAGGCCAGCTGTTGCAGTCACTTGTGGAGTGAATCACTGGACGGAAGATCTTCCTCTCTGTCTCTCCTCCTCTCTGTATATTTTACTTTGTGATAAAAATAAATGTATTTTTAAAAAAAAAATCTTGATTCAAAACCTTATATGGAACCAACTCTAGGATTTATTCGACCTGCTCATAACTACTTGACCAAGAGTTAAGAACACACCTCATGCCTCGGGCATCACAGTGAAATAAGACTATCCACTTTTGAAAGAAAACTACTAAGGCCAACAGTTAAAATGACTATTTCAAAAACAACACTCTCCAAGTTGCTATCTCCTACTAGTTTTACAGGCTTTCTCACTTTTCTGGTGGCTAATAAAAATAGCCTTAGAGCTGCTACTATGTCCCAAAGACAAATTTCTTAACAAAATAATGGGTTTAGTAAAATCTCCTACAACCCAGGGGTCTCTTCTTGAAGCAGAATACAAAAGGGGGAAAAAAAAAAACCACTAAAGAAAAATCTAGTGAAATATGCTTAACCCCTAAAATCTCTGTCTTTCTTTGGCCCACCTGTTTGTTATAGAGAAGGGTGGGCTTACATAAGTACCCTCTTATCAGATGTGTTGAGTGCTAACTCCCAAATATACCGCAACAAAATATACACATGTCACACGGCTCCTGGTGGAAGGAAATCACACATTGTGTACAACTTAAAAAGCACCATCAATTAGTCCTTTCAGTGAGTTCTCAGATGGACTATCACAACTCAATAGGCACAGGGCCCTCCCAACAAAAGCAGGCCTTTGCAAGAACTCAGACATTAGCTACACGGGTAGCCAAACACATGAAAGTTCTTTACCAAGAGGGCTAAAGAAGATGCACTGCATTTAAAAATCACTGTCAACTTTACTGGATATGAAATAAAAAATATTCACATCTTTTTTTTTTTTTTACAATAAAGAACATATCTCAACTTTCAGGAAAATATTTTTCATTAAAAAATTGTTTTTTGTAAACTCATTTCTCCCTATGTGTTTCAAAGCATTTAGTATAACTTCTTTAAAAACACCACAGCACAAAAATGAACATGCAATCACTGAAGAAAAACTTTACATTTTTGGACAAAGACTAGGAACTGGAAGCGTGTGGTCAGAGAGTCCGAGCTGAAGCCTGAACTTGGCCACCAGAGGCAGGTGATCGGAAGAGTTGTTCTCATTGGGAAGTCCGTTCACAGTCCACAAGTCTCGTTCTGTAAGAAGTGACAGTCTGGCAAGAAGTTTCAAGCCACCAACCAGAGTCACTTCAGTGCCTACGTGAAAGAAGCAAGCACACACATACTCAGCAACAACGGCCAACGAGTTCCTGTACTCCATACAGGTCTGTCTTTCTAAACAACCATGACCCAGGGCCTGACGCATTGGCTCAATCGACTGATCCTCCCCTTTTGAGTACCAGTTCATGGGTGCCAGTTCATGGGTACCAGTTCATGTCCCCGCTGCTCCACTTCCAATTCGGCTCCCTGCTCGTGGCCTGGGAAAGCAGTCGAGGATGGCCCAAAGCCTTGAGACCCTGCACCCGCATGGGAGACCCAGAGGAAGCTCCTGGCTCCTAGGCTTGGATTGGCTCAGCTCCAACTTTGGGGAATGAACCAGCAAATGGAAGGTCTTTCTGTCTCTGCTTTTTGTAAGCCTGCCTTTCCAATAAAACTGAAATTTAAAAAATAAAAGAAACCACTATGACACAGAACTAGAGAGCCTTCTGGAAGACCAAGGAGAAACAGATTTTAGAATATAATTTACTGATTTAATTGTTCTATGAACCAAACATAACTCAAACACCTCGTAGTTTCTGATAGCTTTTCTATTATTTTTTAAAAATGTATTTTATTTTTATTAGAAAGGCAGATTTATAGAGAGAAGGAGAGACAGAAAGATCTTCTACCTACTGGTTCATTCCCCAAGTGGTCGCAACAGTCAAAGCTAAGCTGATCAGGAATCAGGAGCCCCTTCCAGATGTCTCACTGAAACTTTGCTGGGCCTAGCTTTTCTATTTCAACTTCTGCAAATAAGCTTTAGGAGAAAATACCAATGTAGTAAGAAGGTTGATGGTAATTTGAGACTGACATCTATGTAAGAAATTCAACCATTAAATACTTTGTACTCATATAAGACAACACAAGCTTAACACAGTATCAGAGATTACAAGATGACTGGAGAATAAATCCACATAATTTTGTCTTACAGAAATCACATTAAAAGATGGCCAACTATGAGATGCTGATCTGCGACCCTCTCCTGACACCTAGTGGATATGTGCTGGTATGACTCCTACTAGATTACAAAGGAAGCAAGAAAGCTTATGCAGCTGATTGATCCAAGCAATAACCTTTTAATAAGGTTATTCTCCAGAAATCAAGTGTGTGTGGCGGGGAAGGACAGCTGGGTCAAGGGAAAAAGTGAATTAGGACACAGTTGCACAAATAAAATGGAAGAAAGAAAACAAGAGGGGATTGAGGTAGACACAAAAAAACTGCTCACATTTTAAACTTTCTAAATTTCTCATGACTATTTTTGGATTTCTAGTTATTGTACTATTTAGTTATTTTATTCTATTATTATTTTATTTTTTAAGAAAATTTATTTTTATTGGAAAGGCAGTTATACAGAGAGGAGAGACAGAGAGGAAGATCTTCCGTCTAGTGATTCACTCCCAAAGCAGCCGCAATGGCTAATGCTGAGCCAATCTGAAGCCAGGAGCCTCTTTAGGGTCTCCTACGCGGGTGCAGGGTCCCAGGACTTTGGGCCGTCCTCTACTGCTTTCCCAGGCCACAAGCAGGGAGCTGGGTGGGAAGTGGGGCCGCCGGGAGTAGAACTGGCGCCCATATGGGATCTAGGCGTATTCAAGGTGAGGACTTAACCCACTATGCTATCGTGCCAGGCCCAATTCTATTACTATTTATTTTTAAATATCTGAGTTACAGAGAGATCTAACATTCACTAGTTAACTCACCAGATGGCTGCCATGACCAGGGCTGGGTCACATAGAAGCCAGGAGCCAGGAGCTTCATTTGGTCTCCCAATTTGGTGGCAGGGGCCCAAACTCTTGGGCCATCTTCCACTGCCTTTTCCAGGTAAGCAGGGAGCCACACTGGAAGAAGAGCAGTGAGCCAAGTGCCACGTGGGATGCTGCCATTATAGGCGGTGGCCTTAACTGCTACACCACAATAGCTCTATCCAGTTATTTTAAACTGTATTTTCTTTTCCACTTTAAATCCTGTGATTAATGTATAATCTTGTTTTCACTGACTCACACAGGGCAAAGTGTCTTAGCACCTTTCCTTTCTGCAAACACTTGTCTTTCTCATACAGATCATATTCCAAGGTCAATGTGACAACACACTGATGCTGGTAACATGAGCATGGTCCTACAAGGAAGACAGCAGCCCTGAGGAAAGGTTCAACCTAAAATCATTAACAATCTATTCTAGTTCTATCAGAGGAAAAATAGTCAATTCACTGCAAGATAAAAGGGGAGTGAACTGGAATGGGGAGCTAGAACTGGGGATATAATTCTTAAGAGAGTCTTCATATTTCCTCCTCAACATATGCTGGCAATTAAGTAATCTATTCAAATAAATTATCAATCTGTCTAAAATTGATTTCTCATTCTCTATCTAGCTCATCTAGCTAACGCTCTCATCTCCAGCCTTACAGTGTAAGGTACTGGCTCTCCGCAGAAGCTAAGATGACCAGCACTCTTTACCTTGGTGTTCAGTGACAGCTTCCTTTTCTGAGGAATAGAAAATATAATCCACAGTTCTGGCACTTCGGGAATGACAGGTGGTCACTTCTGGAATTCCAGTGTCAGGAAAGTAGTGTGAGTAAACAGATGACAAGCTGAAATGGTGTTGTAAGCTTGAAGATAACCTACATGAAACAAGAAAGATGTTCAGCATCCGTTGAGTTGCTCATGAGCTCTATCATTCCTCCTAAGTTAACACACTGGGGGGGGGGGGGCACTGTGGCCCTGGAGCAGCAGTTCCAGTCTTGGTTGCTCTGCTTTGGATCCAGCCTCTTGTGAAGGCAGGAGACCGTGGCCAAGTGCTTGAGAACCTGCGGCCATGTGGAGACCCGCAGGGAGTTGCTGGCTGCTGACTGGCCTGGCCTGCACCCGGCTGTTGAAGCCATCTGGGGGTCGGGGGGGGGGGGGGGTGAAGCAGCAGATGGAGGATTTCTCTCTGTCTGTCTCATTGTGTGTGAAAGTCTGTCCCCTACTTCTCTGTTGCTATCTTTTAAAGATTTAAGTAAATACATCTTAGGAAATAAAGACTGACAGCAACAGATAAAAATGAGATGGTTCTAATTTGATTCCTAAAATTAAATGCCAAGACAAAAACCTATGAAAGAGGCACACTATACAGCAATCAGACACTTGAAGAATTTCCCAAAGAGACAAGACTTTTGCCTCTGCATCAACATACACCAAGCTTTCAACTGCAGCCCCTGATATCAATGTGTCTTTATGGCATCTTCACCCTTTTATCTCCAATGACTTTTTCTTATAGCTCAATAAAATAAATAAAATGTGTTATCTCTTCTGCTGATATCATGTTTTTAGATCAGTTTTCCTAAAGATTATTTTGGGATAAGGAAGGCTAGGGATCCTCTTGAAATGTTTCTCAAGATATTTTCCAAGATGTTTATCTGTGATCTGATCTTTACTTCTATATGTAAAGGCAACACACATATCCTTGAGCTGTGGCGTCCATAAACAAGGCACTTTCCTTCCAAGATATTTCCTGAACCCTCAGACATTGCACCATTCATGCTCTGTCTCAGCCAATCCTTACAACCCAGAGCGATAGGTGAGACTAGTCTAAGTCTAATGCGCATCAGGAAGGGTGCTCAGGAATGGAAGTCAAGTCTACTGAACAGCTGGTAAAGTGCAGCAGCTTGCAATTATCAAAGTGATCTTTAGAAAACAGGAATTACTTATTCAAAAATCCACTTGCTGGACTCACTTTTCAGTTGTCAGCAGAGCTTCTGTTTGTTCTTGCTGTGTCTTGGTCAGGTCACTGTCTGTAAAGAGAGAGAACTAATCATCACTCAGAGCACAATGCCCTGTTCCCGGTGCTGTGGTAGTTTTCTGATGCTAGAAACGACATTTGAGACACACCTAATTCAGACAGATGCTATCGTTATGTTCCATCCTGGAGTTCCTGTTTGGATGGTCTCCAGAATTAGGAAGAATAAAACATAAAGAATTCCAAAGCACCATGCAACTCATGCACACATCAATTTGGGAAATTTGACTTTAAGAAGATAAATTTGGAGCTCTAAAAGAAAAGGAATGTACAAATCACCCTGTGTGTTTATTTATATAAATATGCATCCCCAAGGTGTCAACCTTTGGGAAATGTTTTGTCTCCCAAGGGACACTGTCACCCAGCAGACTGCCACCACGTGTTGTGAACACTCACCTGTCTTTTCTACTTTTGGTACCTGCTGCACCTCATACACACAGTTCTGTGAGATACCTAGGTTTGGGGGCCAAATTGGGATAGATAAAATTCTTTGTCCCCGTGAAGACTGTTCCTGGCCAGATACCTAAACAAAATTTCAACAGGTATCTTAAGTGAATAGATTTTAAGTGGCGTATGTATTGAAAAATCTACAACTCAAAGGTAATCCAAGAATGGTACATATTACTCTTTACTCATTAAGGAATTATTTGTGTTTACAAAACTTGCTCAAATGTAATCCAAACAGCACTTATAATTTACATGACAAGAACCTTTTCCTACACATGTTCTCCTCCAATTTATACATCGATAGCAATAACACTGCCTCTCTTTTCCTGTACCTGCAATGCAGTCCCTATCACATAAAACACTGAATGATCAAATCTTAGGTTAGTCAAATATACCAAAGAGCCAAAGACCGAAAGCCAAGCCCAGGAAAGTACAACAGAAATGGCTACAAGAACCATCGAAACCACTTCAGCAAAACCCTCAGAGCATGCTCCACATCAGGGACCCTGGGATGGCATCGGCTGTTCCCCCCTCCCCAGGTACTGAGACAGCTGGGAGGCTGGGTGCAGCTTGTCCCCTTACTGTCCGCCCCCTTCACAGATACAGGAGGAAAAGGACAATTTGGAAAGAATGGTCTCACCCACTTTCCTCTAATCTTCGGCCCTTCCCACCCTAATCAACTATGTGAACATCATAAAAAAAGAAAATTTTAAAGATTTATAAAAAGAAACAAAAACCAAAACCACATACAACACAAAGAATCAAAAAAAAAAAAAAAGAAAAGAAAAAGGCAACAGGGGTAAACTGTACCAAGATAAAAAGGTCAGACACTTATCATTTTTCAGAAGAAACTTCTAACATAGTTGCACCACTGGTATTGCCCACATCCAGCATTCCACCTCACCACCTTCTGAACAATCCCTTATCTGTGAAGTGCTCATGTCTGCATGTCTGGCAACGCTCTCATTTTTCTCTTTCCCCATTTTTTTCCTTTTTGCTATCTCCTAACTTCTCTAAGCACAATATTGGCACAGGTAGAGAAAAGCTCACCCAAGGTCTCCCAAGAGCTGCCAACAGTCACCCTCCGGTTACGACGAACAGAGCACTCAGCCCTGTCTCCTTGTAACAACGAGGCAGGCACTTACCTTGCCGGTGGCAAGTCCTTCATAATCCAACTTTCCTTCCCTTATGAAACTATAGAGTGGGGAACCAGGAACAGAGTTAAAGTCGCCACACATAACAATGGGATAGCAGCTGCCATCTTTCTGATGGGCCACGCTGAAGATCTCGGCAAGCAGCATGGCCAACTGGGTCAGCTTAATGTCTCCTCGCCTTGGATTGTACAACAGATGTGTGTTAGCTATACAGATGGCAGGGGAGGCACCACATGGAATTTTGGGCTGCAAGAGTAAAACTAATCCGACATTGTGTCTGTCCAGCAGAGGAATACCAGGGCGGTAGAATTCCACTGGGTTCACAGATAAGAGCGAAAATTTGGAATGTTTGAAGCAAATGGCACAACCATCAGGTTTTTTTCCTGTCCTCATCTTATATTCACAGTGATAACCTGTAAGAAAGAGATTAATTTAAATGAGAAGTTTTCTTTTAAAATATAAGTACTTGTCAAAAACACAACTCAACCTAATATTTCTTAAAAATGCTTTTTCTTTTATTTTTTTCAAATTATTTTTAATGGGAAGAAAAAGAAACAGTAGTTCACTCCCTAAATGCTGAGAACAGCCAGGGTTGGGCCAGGCTGAAGGCATGAGCTGGGCACTAGTCTCCCACATGGATGGCAAGGACTCAAGCACCTGCCCCAGGAGCATGAGCAGGAAGCTGGACTGGAACTCAAGGACAGGACTTGAGCTCAGGCACATGGCCCCACTCAACATACTGCGTCTCGCCTAACACTTTGGAATGATGCTTACCAAAGTGCACTTTTTTGTAAAATGTTAGTAATTTTTAATGTTAGTTAAGTGTTAGCATCAAAAGGGTTGGGCACTTGGGCACTGAGGCTTCACTGGCAGATTTTAGTTCTTAATACACTGTTGTGTGGGGTCAGTGCATTGGCTCAACTGGCTAATCTTCCATCTCCAAGATCCACATCCCATATGGGCACCGGTTCTGATCTTGACAGCCCCACTTTCCATCCAGCTCCCTGTTTGTGGCCTGGGAAAGCAGTTGAGGATGGCCCAAAGCCTTGGGACCCTGCACCCATGTGGGAGACCCGGAAGAAGCTTTTGAGTTTGGATCAGCCAGCTCAGGCTGCTATGGCCATTTGGGGAAGGAACCAGCAGATGGAAGATCTTTCTGTCGCTCCTTCTTTCTGTAAACCTGCCTTTTCTATACAAATTTTAAAAACAATTTTAAAAGACTATTTTTAAAATAACCCGAGATATTTAACACACACACACACACACACACACACACACACACACACACACACACACGTGTGCTACTGTGCATGATCACTCTCCCAGGGCCAGCCGGGTGACAGTGAGTCCGGCTCGAACACCTCTGTTCCAGTTTTCTGATTCTTTTTCTACAACTTCTCATACCATTCCAGCCATCCTAGCCTTCCCAGTCACGCCCTCAGGACTGTTCCTACTGCCTGGAATGCTCTGGCTGTGGCTCACTACTTTACCTCCTGTACATTTTTTTGCTCAAACATCACCCCATCTCCTGGCATCTTCCCATCCCACTTGTTTTTTGCTTTTCCACAGAAAACTATCCTTATAATGCTACTTGTTGACTTCTGTTTTGCCAATGCTATCTCTTCACTTACTAGAATATTGCATGGCATACAGAAGGCACTCAAAAAACATTTGCTGAATGAAAACACAAAGTATGCAAATTTCTCAATTTACAAAACCACAAGTGATTTGCTTCCAGAAGTATTTCTTCCTTTACAAGTTTTTAGCTTCTCTACACTGGGCACTGGAAGGTTCTGGCATTGTCATGAACTGGACACACTGGTTCCTCATCTCACCCAGCCCAGAATCTGAAAGGCCTACTGGGCTGCAGAGCAACTGCTGCCAAGGGAGCCATTAAGAATCTCTAACTCACATTTCCAGTTAAGATTATACACCAATACAAAAGTTTCCAATTGAGGTATTTCAATGTTACCCGGTAACAGACCAGGTTTGCACAGATTTTTTAGTCTAAATACACCACAGACTGTGTTGGCAAGTTCGGCTTTAATAACACACCAATGCGCAAAAGCAAACTCAGCTAATAGAACAGCTGCATTGTACCCAGTGATTCCAAACTTGGCCTGATCTCTGTTCCATAATGATCTTCTTGAACTTCTTGCAAACAAAGCACCTTGGAAGGAGGAAAAAAAAAATCTGAATTAAAACACAGAAATGCAAATGAATTTTCTAATGATTTCATTTTGTCAACAAGGGCTTTAAAGTTGAAACAATCCTTTTCTCTTATTATTAATGGCAAAACTGATGTTTCCAATTTGAACTCAGGACTCACACGGAGCTCTCTTTCTATCCAAAACCCACTTACCAAAGGAAACCATTTTTTTTAATAAGATTTATTTATTTTTATTGGAAAGTCAGATACACATAGAGGAGGAGAGAGAGGAGGATCTTCCATCTGATTCATTCCCCAAACGGCCCCAATGGTCAGATTTGAACTGACCCGAAGCCAGGAGCAAGGAGCCTCTGCCAGGTCTCCCATGCAGGTGCAGGGTCCCAAAGCTATGGGCCATCCTCGACTGCTTTCCCAGGCCACAAGCAGGAAGCTGGATGAGAAGCAGGGCTTCTGGGATAAGAACCAGTACCCATATGGGATCCAAGCACGTGCAAGGTTAACACTTCAGCCACCGGGCTACCACGCCAGGTCCGATGATTATTTTTACTAAGCATTGCTAACCCATGGCTGTCTAAGACCATGCCAATAATTTTTCATTATCCTTACACATCTTCCCTTCTCACCACATAAACCACACAGGTAAAACCATTCTGTTTACAAATGAAATGTTTACCATGGCTTTTTCTGTGCAAAGACATTTGATTAAAATTTTGCACTTACATCTGCATCAAAGTGTTTAATTTCTTTCAGAATATTGGGAAACCTGAAGCTCCAATGTAATACTGGCCGCCGGCAGTGTCTATAAAGGTGTGAATTCTCTTCCAGTAAATCTTGTGAAAGTATATTATAGGACATCACTGAAAAGTCAAACTGGTTCTCACTGTCTTCGCACTGGGAGTCAACCTCTTTGCCTCCTGGGATCTTCACGTTTTCTTTATTGTAGTTACATACATATTCCCAATTCCGTGTTATCATCCCTGTTGAAATATATTGGGTAAAACACAAAGAATTAATCATAGACAGTAAACAGTTTCCTATATATAAGTATCTCCTCATCTTTGAAAAAATTTCCTAGGACAACAAATAAAAAACATGATGGCCTGGGAAATGGCAATAGCACTGAATAACTTCAAGTTGTTAACAAATTATTTTTTAAAGGCAGTAGGAAGATATATTGCTCGATCAAAGGGCATACGAAACAGGTTTAAAGGGACCTAGGCTAGCTGCTTTGGAGAATGTGCTAGAAAAGAGATGAGGATACAGAACTGTGTCTCTATGGATAAAAATTGCTCTGTCACAAACATGTTTAGTGAGTTTATAACTGTAATAATACATTGTACATCACAGTTGGCTTTTCAACAAGATGATTTTACAATGGGTTGCATTCCGCATTAGTAAAATAGTAAGTATGATCAAACAAATTCCAGAAATAATCCTTAGTTCAGAATTCTGGCTTACTGTATCCAGGAACAATGTAAAAGGGCACCACGTGGAAATGATATTTTATGTCTAAAACACTCAAGTGAACAACACAACCAACATGAACTAAAGTGATCTTTTTTACGAACATCAAAGCTGAAATTTTTAAATATGACAACTTCAGGATGTTGGTAATTGGTGGTGGTTGGCTAGCAAACCTAGTGGACAACCAAGAATGTGTCACAGTTATGTTCTGAGAAGACATACCCCACAAGTGACAAAAAGTAAAAAGCACACAGCCTTTCAATTACAGGCAGTCCTCAACTTAGAAATGACCACCAGTTGTGGAGCTGTGGGGTGTGTGTGGGTGTATGCACACACGTGTACTCACTTTTCATTTTGCCCCTCTGCCACTAAACAGGATATTGTCATAGCCATAGAAGGCATACAGAAAAATTCAGAACTTAAGAATCTATGAGCTCCAAGGAGGAAATCAAGAACTAGGAGGAGCAGGGGCATTTGGATTCCAAGCACAGTAAGATTTTATGAAAAGCCTCTGCCCCGGAGAGCTCCCTCCTCCCAGTAGGCAGGTTTTCACTTTACTGGGTTTCGCTGCCTAAAATTCCACAAATTAAACAATTGAGTTGAGGAGCTGGTGTTGCGGCACAGCCAGCTAAGATACCACCTTTGATGCCAGCAGCTCATATTTGTGCTGATTCATGTCCGGGCTGCTCCACTTTCAATCCAGCTCCCTAGTAATGCACACAGGAAGGCAACAGAAGATGGCCCAAGTCCTTAGCCTCCTGCACCCAGGAAGGAGACTCACATGGAATTCTTGGTGCCTGGCCTGGTCCAGCCCTAATCATTGCAGTCATTTGGGAAGTGAGTCAGTGGATAGATCTTTTCTTTTCTTCTTCTTTTTTTTTTTTGAAAGTCAGATAATACAGAGAGAAGGAGAGACAGAGAGGAAGATCCTTCATCTGCTGATTCACTCCTCAAGTGGTTGCAACAGCCAGAGCTGAGCCTATCTGACGTCAGGAGCTTCTGGGTCTCCCATGTGGGTACAGGATCCCAAGACTTTGGGCTATCTTCAACTACTTTGCCACGCCACAAGTAGAGAGCTGGATGGGAAGCAGGGCTGTAGGGAAACAAACCAGTGCCCATATGGGATCCTGGTGCGTGCAAGGTGAGGACTTAAGCCACTAGGCAACAGCACTGGGCCCTAGAAGATCACTTTGACTCTCCTTTTCCTCCCTCATTTTCTAACTCTGCCTTTCAAATCAATAAATAAGTGTTAAAATAAAAAAAAATGTTTTGATATGCTTAAAACAGAGTAAAAATGAGGCTAAAAGAAAATAAATGCATCACTGTTTTTTAAGCAAGTTATTTCTGAGTGGTAAGATTATGGAAAAGCCTTGCAAATCTTCTGCAATAAGAATATATTCACAACAAAATCTTGTACTGTGGGCCCAGCGCAATAGCATAGTGGTTGAAGTCCTTGCCTTGCATGTGCCGGGATCCCATATGGGCACTGGTTCTTATCCCAGAGGCCCTGCTTCCCATCCAGCTCCCTGCTTATGGCTTTGGAAAGCAGTCGAGGACGGCCCAAAGCTTTGGGACCCTGCACCCACATGGGAGACCTGGAAGAGCTCCTGCCTCCTGGCTTCGTACTGGCTCAGCTCCAGGTGTTGCAGCCACTTGGGGAGTGAAGCATAGGATGGAAGATTTTCCTCTCTGTCTCTCCTCCTCTATGTGTATCTGACTTTCCAATAAAAATAAATGAATCTTAAAACAAACAAACAAAAAAAAACTTGCACTATAGAAAAGTGCTAATGATGTAGCAATTTCAAAATATATCTGGTAAATTAGGTTCCTTAGCATCTAAGCAGTTTATACCTGTAGTACTGAGGGAACAGAAATTTTGGTCAGGATGGAAAAGGACAAATTTTATGATTGGTAACCAGAGACTCAGGAAATTGTGAAGGTACTAAATGAGTAAAGGAAAAAAGGTGAAAGGAAACAAAATCAAACTAGTCTTTAACTATGATAGAATTTTGCCTATGCTTGTCTGTGTCCAGCAAGGGGAGAAAACGACTCGCTTCACTGAACATGAGGGATCTGACCCTTGAAGACTCGAAACCAGGGCTCCTTACGTTAAGTAGTTCCACAGAACTCCTAAGATTTACAACAATTTCTAAGGGAAAATAACCTATGTGTTTAGAACACTACTCATTCATAAGTTGGGGACTGTCCATGATGGTTTTAGCCACAAATCAGTCTCCATGTGAATGAAGAATGAAAAAGGCTCAGTCATGCAAATAAAACGTAAGCTATTATAAAAAATAGAGCAGCAACCCAGTGTCGCTGTCACATAACAACATAAAGGACAATGATCCAAAAGCTTATTCATATTTCCTAATCAAATATGTGTACATAATAATAACATATACATACATTAAGGATTTTATCGCCCACGTAATAAGAGAACTTGAGAACCAGCTCTTACACAATTGCACTTTTTAAATAAGTAGGATCACTGGATTATCTGATCAATACAATGGCTTTCAAACTTTTGTAGCTTGTAGAACCCTGTGGCATTACTTTTCATGTCACAGAACACCGATCTTGGGCATGTTGGTATGGCAGCTTGGATGGTTAGGTAAACACACATTTTGTCCTGATCACATTCGCTTTTAATGAACTTCCAGAAAGGCATTCAAATGCTAGGATTCCACAGAAGACAAATTTGAAAACCACTGTTAGAGTGGATAGGCTCTGGCCTTCAAATACTTCACAACACAAATTCACTCCAAAAGCTTATATACCTTCCATGTCAGGAGGACCAAGGTGATCAGCAGCAGAGAAGACAGATGAATCAAAGACAGTAAGCACAGGCCTGAGTGGGTCTGAGGGGGCCTAATTAAAATGTCACAGTTCTGACTCACATAAATCCTTCAAACACCACTTTTAAAGTGATAGGCAAGTGGGCAATGCTGTTCTCTTGATTGAAAAGAATTAGTGAAAGATCAGAAGTCACAAACATGGCTTAACGAAGAACATTTTCCTTATTCACAACACCTAGGAAGAAGGGACATATAGAGAGTCAGGTTGTGAGCAAGGTTTTTCAGTCTGTTAAATGCAATGCCCCATCCATTAGAGGGAAAACGCCATCACAATTTTCTGAGTACCTACTAGGAAGCCAACAGTGTGTTAGGCACTTTAACATATCTCACTCTGTACTCAACAGACTTTCAAAGTAGACATTTTGCACATGGTATCCAGGACATAAGAAGGTTAAGCAACCTATGTTCACAGAATCAGTGATGAGACAGAAAGGAGCCGGAGCGCTCCCAGGCTCTTGCCAGTCACCATGTCAAAGCTCCATCTAAGAGATTATCAAGGGGAGTGTGCTGGCCTGATGAACAACAAATACATGAACGGGAAGCAGTATGACGTCACCCTTCAGCCCTAGATCGCCAGACCAGGGACTGTCCGCAGGAACCTTCCCAATATACCTTTCATTCATTCACACACACTCACATTTCTTGTTTATCAACTCATGCTGTGGTTAGCTACTATCAAAAGATTCTCCCTTATGTGAATTTAAGATCTCTACTCATTATATGTTTGCTTTTTGTAGCTAGGCTTTCTCTAACTGAGTAGCAAGAGGATCCTCTTTGGACATTAAGAGCTATCCCTGGGACCCAGCGGAAGCCTATGTACTACTTCTTAACAGAGGCAGAAGAAACCCGAAGAATTCTGACGAACTCGTCTAGAACTGATGTACAGGTGAGAATCCCTCTGAACGGTTTTCTTTGACAAACATGGCTGTCAGTCTCTTACACAGAAACATTCCCATGTCTTATTCTCAAAAATCTTCACAGTAATCTTCCTCACTGAAATCTACATGTCATTAAGAAGACAATTCCAAATTCTACTCATTTATGTTTTAGGGGGGCTGGAAGTGGGAGCAGGGGTAGAGGCACAGAAGGAGTCTAGTGAATTGTTTGAAAAAAAAAAGTAACTGACACTTAAAAAAAATGTTTCTTGAAGCTGAAGATGATGTGGTTCCCTTTCTAAAAGATAATATAAGGGGACTTCAAAAAATTCATGAAAAATGTTTATTATGAAAAACTATACGTGGATTTCAAAAACTGGCACCAAAGTAAATTTTTCAATAATGTTTTTATGATTGCTTTTATTTGAAAGATAGAAAAAGAGACCCTTCTTATCCACTGCCTGCAGTTGTCAGCACCGAGCCAGGCCAAAGCCTGGAGTCTGGAATTCAAATCAGATCTCCCATAGCAGCAATAAGAATCCAAGAATCTGAGTCATCATCTATCTCCTGCCTTCTCTGGGTACAAATCAGCAGAAAGCTGGAATGGAGAGCAAAGCTCAGGATCAAATTTAGGAACCAGGACATATGACATGGGCTTTCCAAGCAGCAGCCCAAATGCTATGCCAGAGTGTCCCAACTCAGATTTTCACTGTTTTCCCTAAGCAAGTTTGTGCAGTGTCCTCAGAAATTCCAACAGGCTCTCAAAATTTTACCCGTAGACCCAGATTTGAGAAATACAGATATAATAATAATTTAAAAAACTTTACTCTGTAATAAGATGTCTTTCTGATTTGTTTCTATTTAGGAGACCTTTTATCAAATGCAAAAACATTAGCCCTAAAATGAAAACGCATTTAGTTCTTTTCAGGTCTGTGGACTTGCAGCAACAGTCACCTGCTTCTAGAATTCCGAGCATCTTGGTCTCCAAAACACCGCAGTTGGAATTTATTCTTAAATAAGGCTTACTAATCCGTGCTTTCGCTCTTCTCCAAATTATTTTACCCATAGTTACTTCAACTTTTACAGCCAGAAATCCACACTTAGTTGAAATCGAAATAAAGATTCCATTAAATTTTTTTTTTTACTGCCATAGAACTACTGTCTAAAAAAGAAAACAAACACCTCTAAAACCGGCAAGAGGGACCAAGGATTAGCTAGACGAAAGCTCCGACCGTCACGCACGTCTATCTCCACCTTTACCTTGGTGTCTTCTCCGCTTGGATGAAGGCTCATCTCCCTCAGAGCCCATGACGTAACTAGAGAGATGAGTCAGAGATGTGTGGCTGAGGCGGTCGGGTCTCCAGCTACAGTACTGAAACTGAGTCCGGGACTCGGACAAATAGCGTGGCCGCCAATGCAGGGAGAAATGCCTACTGCTGAAGTAGGGGTACGGGGCACGAGAATAATGTCCAGGCCACCTCATACAGCTAGAAATATGTCTGTTCCAGCAAGATCTTTGTAGATCCTCCCACGGTGTAGTCCAATCTCTGCCCAGACTCCTCGGGTGATGGGGAAACACAGAGTATCTAAAAGAAATAAATACACTCCTTGAGGTATCACTTTTTGTTGAACGAACCATTTGTTGAATGAATCATAGTACAGCAAATCTATTTCCTCAAGGGATGACAATGTTTAATATTTAAAATCTGACCTCTAAATCTAGAAGATGAAGAGGGAAAAGCACCTGTGATTTGATTTTGCATCAGTATCTCAATATTCTCTCCCTAAAGAACCCTGAATGACATTCTAAATCACACAGAATATTGCCAGGGCACCCAAAACCTTCACAAACTTTGCCGTTCAACCTAGATATATCAGTCACCAACCTAGTCTTTACAGCTTTCTAGCACTCAAAAAAGCTCATTTGGGGGCCCAGCGCAGTAGCCTAGTGGCTAAAGTCCTCACCTTTAATGCACCTGTATCGCATATGGGCGCTGGTTCTAATCCCGGCAGCCTCACTTCCCATCCAGCTCCCTGCTTGTGGCCTGGGAAAGCAGTAGAGGATGGCCCAAAGAGTTGGGATCAGCACCCGTGTGGGAGACCCAGAAAGAAGCTCCAGGTTCCTGGCTTTGGACAGGCTCAGCTCTGGCCATCTGCAGTAACTTGGGAAGTGAATCATCAGATGGAAGATCTTCCTTCCCTGTCTCTCCTCCTCTGTGTACATCTAACTTTGCAATAAAACGATTTTTTAAAAAGCTCAATGGGAAAAATAAAGCATAATACTTGGGAGGAAAAATGTTTTTGAGCAGGTTTTTTTAAATATATACCAAGGATAGATTTTCCCAAATACAGAGCTGAAAAAACAAAAGCCTTTTCCAACTTCACAACACTTTCTCTTGTTAATCAGAATCAGTGGGTGGATAATTTCTCTCTCTCTCTTATTTTGGACTACGCTTCTCCTTGGGGAGACATAGAAGACGGACTATCCACTGGGACTTGCCCGACACTCAAACCCAAGCATCACCTAGCATCCCGAAGTCCTCCAACCTTGTGTGAGGATTACTTCCGGCATGCATGTTGTCCCTTTGCTCTCAGAACTTGGTGGCTTAAATACCCCCTTCTTACTGGAGTACTTCGGCAGCAAAATGTTAGGATTCAGACACGGCCTTCTAACATTTCTTGCAGAGTTCAGTGCAGGTACAATTCTAAGACAGTGTCAACAAGTCCTCTTACATTTCAGCTGCATTCACTGTTGCTTGGCTTTTATGGCACTTTTTGAAAATCAATTTCATTTTAAAAGCATTTAGACATTTTCGTTGTTCAAAATCAACCTGATCATCTTAAAGGCACGACACGGCACTCTATCCTGCTTTCAGACAACTCTAGTAACCCACTAGGCTTGAAGCACTTACTTGGTCCATGCCTTTTCTCTTCTAATCAGCTACTCTGAAATAAAACCTTGGTACTACAATTACAACATTTCTCTCTGGATTTGCAGTTATTTACCCGGACGCCTGGTTCCCTGAAGATGCTGAAAGCCTTAAGGGCCAGCCAGCCTTCGAGTACTTTTAAACTCTGGCTTCTTGGACAAGCGCCTAGCACAGTGCCTGCCCCGTAGCGGGTACTCAGAGACACAGCGGTGCTAAGCTGCCCTCCGGGCCCAGCCTAGGGGGGTAACACCAGCACACAAGCCTTATGTAATCATTTCTTCGGACGCGTGCCACGACGGTCGGTTTCACAGGGCACACAAACATCTCCGCTTGAAATATCAAAGTATTTATGTTGAAGTGGATTAGGAGAAAGATACACAGCAACAGACCCTAAATCCCGCCGGCACTGCCCGAGACCACGCTAATGCAGGCAGCACCTACCGTGGGTTTTTTTTTTTTTTCTTTTTTTGAAGTTAAACAATTTAAAGACCACTACCCAGGAAGCAATATAGGCAGAATCAAAGCTCGGCACAAGCGAATACAGTTTGGAAGACATTCACACAACAGCGAAGCAACCCCGCGAGGGCTGCGACCGCCCGCACCCGCAGCTCCCGGAGCCGGGCAGCGAGGTGCCGACGGGCGGCCGATCCTGGCCCGGGCTTGGGGTTGGGGTTGGGGTTAGGGTTGGGGCAGGCAGGCCGGGGATGCCGGGTCGAGCCGGGCCCGAAAAGCACAGGGCCAGCCGGCAGCCGAAGCGCTCCGGGTCTGGTCCCTGGAGCTCGTGGGCCGAGCGTCCCCGCCGGCTGCGCCCCGGGTTTACCTATCCCTCAGGGTCTCTGCAGGCTCGTCCCGGACGCACCATGGCCCAGACCCTCTTCCTCCTCCTTCCTCCCACCCCCACGCCCGCCCCGCCCCGGGCTAACCTGGGCAGCCCGCCCCCAGGCCCGCCCGCCCCTTCCTCCTCCCTCCCGCCGCCCAACGCTAACTGACCGGCCTCTCCCCGCCATACAGCGGCCGTAGCCCCTCCTCACACAGCGCCACGCTTCCATCTTTTTCTGCCAGAGTCGGATTCCCAAGCCGCAAGCTCCACCTCAGCCTCTACCACAGAACGCGCGGCCTAAAGCGCCACGGCGGCCCCATCACTCCGAGTCCCGGCGCCCGGCCGGGCTGCTAGGCATGCTGGGAGCTGCAGTCCCGCCACGGGCGACGGCTCCATTTTGCACTGACTGGAGTCCCTTAGTTCTTAACCCCGAGTAGCTCAAGGAGCATGCGCAGAGCGCGTGAAGCATGAATAGCCATTTTCGAATAGGGCAGAACGCTCTCTTAAAGAAACAGAAAAACGAAGAGCTGTACATCTTTCAGGGCTCTGGGTGGGTGTGTAGCGAAAGTTATGAAGAAAAAAGTGTGTTTTTTTTGAATATTGTATTTATTTATTTGAAAGGCGGAATCCCAGATAGGAGAGGAGAGGCGAAGAGAGGGAGACCTTCCATCCGCTGGTTCACTCCGCAGATGGTGGCCACCCCTGGGGTTAGGCCTCATGGAAGCCAGGAACCAGAAGCTTCTTCCACGTATCTCACGTGAGTGACAGGTGCCCAACAAGCACTTATACCGTATTCTGATGCTTTCCCAGGTCATTACTAAGGAGTCAGGAAGTGGAGCAGTTGGGACACAAACCGTTGCCCACATGGGATATTGGAGTTGCAAGACAGTGCTTTTTACCCACCAACTCACAATCCTTGCCCCAGAAAAAATATATATATTACTTTAGCCTATTTTTTAAAATAATGCACTTGGGGAGATTTGAAAGATTGAATACCAGGCTGAGGAAGTACCCTTCGGTGGAATTGCAGATTTTGGCCGTTTATCTTGTGGTCACACCAGCATATAATTTGTTTTAAGATTTGTGTGTCTATATCTGTCAATTGTAGTCTAGGACTCGAGATTCTCAGACAATAATGCTTAGGAGGAGAATGAAATGGATAGGGAAGTGGGGGAAGGTACTAGGAGGCATTATCATTGCTTTTATAAGCTCATTGGCAGAGCAGTGTGTAAGTTAATAGGAAGTGTTTTTGGTTCTGTGTGTGTTAATAACAAAATCCGATGCATTAGATGCAGTCTTTATGCTTTTCCTTATTAAACGTTATTTTTTTTTTTTTTGAAAGAGCTACAGAGAGAGGAGAGACAGAGAGAGAGATCTTCCATCTGTGGTTCATCCCTCTGTTAAACCCTGGGGGGGATCTAATGGTTACCGACCCCGAGAGTCGCCGCCCGAGAGCTCAAGAACCAGGTCAGAGGCTGCAAGAAGCAAGAGGATTTTATTGACGGCCCCTACTCCAACAGGGAGAGAAGCCCTGAATTCTGGAGGTACAGATATTTTATAGGCACACACTACAAGCTTAACATACTTTTGTGGCAGGCCTTAAGTTTTATGGCCCATTCTATTGTCTACCCAGACCCCTTTCCCGCAGCCCGGGCCTGTAACAGTTTTATGGCCCTGTTCTGACACCGACCCAGGATTACCTGGGCCCATTTCTCAGGATAAGGAATTCGCTTGTCAGGAAACAGAAACCGAAACCCAGACCGCCTTCCTATAGCCCGGGCCTGGTACTGCCTTCTTCTTGTCTCTTATCTCATTTTGCCAAGCACATATAGAAGCCATGAAAGCATTAACCCTTTGCTTTCTCTCTTTCACCCCAAATGGCCATAACTGGCAGGGCTGGGCCAGGCTGAAGCCAGGAGCTGGAATCTTCTGGATCTTCCATGTGGTGCAGGGACCCAAGCACCTGGGCCATCTTCTGCTACTTTCCCAGGCACAATAGCAGGGAACCGAGTTGGTAGTGGAGAAGCATGCTATATGGTATGCTTCTGTCACAGGCAGAGGCTTAACTTGAATTGTCACAATGCTGGCTCCAGTATTTATGTTTTATAAAGTTGGTGGAAAAACTGAAATTAGTGAATCCTGAACCATTTCTTCTATGGGAAATACAGAGTTTAGATTCCTGTGAATTTCTCATCTTGTTCTCATCAGCCAAGCAATATATAATCTTGTTGTATGTATGCTTGTATTTAAAGATACCTTATTTAGTATATTTATATCGTTTAAAGATTTATTTATTTTTATTAGAAAGGCAGATTTAGAGACAAAGAAAAAGAGCTTCCATCTGCTGGTTCACTGCCCTAATGGCTGTGTGGTCGGAGCTGAGCCAATTCAAAGCCAGGAGCCTGGAGATTCTTCCAGGTCTCCCATGTGGGTGCAGGCTTTGGGCCATTCCTCTCTGCTTTCTCAGGCCACAAGCAGCGAACTGGGTGTGAAATGGAGCTGCCAGGACGTGAACTAGTGTCTGTATGGGATCTTGGTACTTGCAAGGTGAAGATTTAGCCACTGAGCCATTGTGCCAGGTCCAGTATATATTGTTG